TAGGTAATATAGTAAACTGACAGGTGAACTGAGGCAAGCAGTTGACAACCGTGACGACTAACATAATAGATAACTAATGAGTAGAAGGATTTTAGAATGCAATTTTAATTATGGCCTCAGCAGCCCAGAAGCTAACCATCAGTAGGAAAAAGCATCGGGTGTAGTTTCGTCCTAGTGTGGCTCGTCAGTGCTGTGCATCCGCCGCTCATTGCTGATGTTCTAGCCATAAGTATTAGGTTGAGAATAAAGCTATTCCGGTTTTCAATCTTAAAATTTAAACGCACATGTATTGGCTCGAACGGAACATATTTATCTGAAATAAAACCATTCGAGCTGACACACTTTTGTCAACGGGAACCAAGTTTATTTATTCCGGAGTTCTCATAACGATGAAATTGTTGAAAACAGTTTCGATATATTGGGGTTTAAAAGTTTTCTCAGAGGAAGTTATCCAGGTGCTTAAAAAACTGGTAACCGGTTAGTGAGAGGTCAAGAAGTATTGGGGCTGAGGCATTCGTAGTCTAGTTCGTGCAGCTTCCGCAGGGTTGTTTGTGCAACGTGTGGCAGTGTGTCATCATGCAGAACGGCTGCACGCTTTAAGTTAACCAGTGGCGGGCTCCTGTGTTGGTTTTTAGTGCATTTCGACAATTTGTCCAAAATACTTGTCTGTAATAGAATCCCCTGGACTCAGAAAGTTGTAATGGATCAGACGAGTCGCGGAGCACCAGTCACCGGAACATTTTGGGTGCAATTTCACCTTTGGGAAGAGTTGTGGGGCCTGATTGTAGTCAAACGATTATGAGGTCCATCGTTCATTGTAGTAAAGGATGCACCTTTTATCGCAATTCCCAATCCCGTCGATAAACGGGTCACTTTTATGCTGCAGAAGAACATCAGATGACACCAAAAACCGACGATTTGTTAGGTTTTCATACAATTCTTGCGGCATCCACTTATCAAGCTTTATCGGCATTCCAATCTACCGTAAATGTTTCAAAACTGTCCCACGCGACACTGCTAAGTTAGTAGCAAGACGTGCAACAGTTTTACGTGGATTCGCTCTAACTAGAGTCATTAACTGATCGATGTTCACTACCAATGATCGTCCACAAAGCTGTTCCACTGCAAGCCTCCGTAACCTTAGCGAAATCGTTGAAACTACCACCGTGCAGTACGGTTATTACTGGCTCTAGCAGAAAATGCACTGTCATGGGCCGTTGCCGCTGCATGAAGACTGCGCAGATCTGTCTTTGGTCTATGTTGCAATAAATGTGCTACAAAGATACAAAAACGTCTCTCTGAGAAAAAAATCATTCTTGTCAGCCAGAGCGCAAAACAGACTTAAAAATAATGTACAAGATCAAAGCTGCTGGCAAGTTGGCATTTGACTCAAGCGGTCATACGTTGGAGCCCATTAGGGGACCGAGGGAATGCCCACCACTGACGAGCCACAATAGGGCACAACGCATCTGGTGCATTTCCGGACAAGGCTGCGCCATGTAGCTTCAGGAACACCCGGATGAAAGCCCTTAAAAATAACCACTCAAATGCTGCTACATAGTAGCAATATCATTAAAATTAATCAAAAAAACCTGTCAAAATAAAAATAGCAAAAGCCGCAAGTACGATATTGCAAACCTAATCCTTAGAGGGAAAAAATAACAGAGCATGTGAACATTTCTAGTACAGAAAAAGCGATGGACACAGAACCGATAAGGAAAAGTATGTCGGTAAATAAAGTTTGGAATACTGGCAATTTCAGAGACAGATTACTTCGTGTTCACAGAGAAGCCCGAAGTATCTACAATACCGATTTACACGCATGTTAGCGCATTGCACCAAGCTTTTAGCGTGGCACATTTTCGAAATCGCGTGCAGTGCTTTCAAGTTAGCGAGGCTAAGAACGCTGTTTTGGTGTCGTTGACACTCTCATTGGTCATGGGAAGTTAACCAATGGGACACTGGTTGGAAGTCCCTAGCATAAGTGACGGGCAGTCCAATGAAAGTGGCCGAGTTACCACCTTATGTTCTATTTTGATGCCTATCTGAAGGAAACATCGATGATTGGTCTCCAATAGGCAACTTGTGATGCCTGTCTAAGGAGGAGATTCTAGCTACCACATGATCCGAAGCTTAAGCCGTAACCAGTGCGGACAGACATACTAACCAGCACATGAAGCGGCCTATACTTAGTGATCGCGCTAGCGGCTACCTGTTGGTGGCTTATTCAGCGGCCTAACCATAATGGCGTAGACATGCAATCTTCTAATTGGTATTCCGCAGTTCAGCAATGACTGTTAGGCGGTTAGACAATTTTGTGCGATTGTTATTACGACGATCATGAGGGACATTGTTCCCATTGAAGTTGGTAGACTAACCTGAAGCAGAACAAGAAAAAGTTCTATGTTTGCTTACTACTATCACAGTTGATGACTAAATGCAAAATAAGAGGATTCCAAGTGTGGCGTTCACATGACGTTAGTGGGAGACTTTATTAATCAGTTATCGCTTCAGTGCCTCCATGTATGGCGTTATGTAAAGGTCATAGGAACCTATGTATACATAGGATAATTAGGCTTTTCTTCAATATGGTCGCCCAAACGTGTTGAGACGCTTTGACAAGTGGCTCTCCTAATGGCACCATTAGAAGCACAGTCATTGCAGATGGAACCTCCCTATTACATCCATGGACTGGAATGCTATCATCATGAAATCGGCATTACATCTAAGTGAGTGGTAATAAGAAGCGGATTGGTAGTTTGTGTGAGGCAGCACCCCTTGCAGGCTGTTGGAAGAGAAGCTTTGAAGGCTTACGGGTTGACTGCACGGTTGCCTTCCTTGCTCGCTTGCCTATCTGGCCACACGTGATACGGTATGCATAGTGTAATCGTGCCACTGCGAGCAGTCTGGTGAGTGGATGGGTGTGCGATTTCGCTTAGGATATGCCTGTAATTGTTAAGGCAGTGCGAGGTAACCAGAAACAATGCAGTAATTCGTATGAAGGAGGACTTGTTCGCAAATAGAAATTTTAAAGCCTTTACAGCTACAAAGTTCTCGTGATGTGTTTTTTCAGCTGGCCGTGCACTCATGTGAACAGCGTAGCTACGTACTGCTTATGTAGTTGGCGCATTGTATACTAAGGTCAAATTCGCTGGGTAGGTAAGACCATCAGCGGAACTATAGCCATTGTTCCAAAGAGGAGGCTTCCTAGTGTGGCGGTGACAGGACACTAGTGTTCGTTCGTCTTCACACCTGTGGACCACTTCGGTAATCAGTTACCGCTTCAGGACCCATCGTAAGATGCATGTCAATCCTGCGTTTCAACATGATATTTACACTTCACTTCCAAGTGATTGATAAGCTTGAAATACCAAGTGACCCTACGGCCCTGATATGATCTGCCAACAAGCATTGCATACGCATAGTAAGCATAGAGTTTGGAGAAATTTTCCTCCTTCAACAATGCCTCCGGGATTACCTCCTTTCCAATGACAAAATGATTCCGAGTGGTTACAAACTCGATAACAACCTGTGTCACGGCGTGCACACATGACTGCTTCTAAGACTAGCTGAAACAGTGGTCCGTAGCAGGATAAGTGGGCGCGGTTGTCTTTGTAGATGATTGCAAACACGTTGTAGGAACGCCCGTGAGTAAGACAGTAGTGTCTGTCTGTTCCAAGTATCTACCTGAATTACCAGAGTAAACTGCATGCGTCACCACTAATTATCAGCCTTGCGTTTTTTCTAGAAGGACCATGTGGAATACATAAATACCGTAGTCATTGTAGCCCCTTCTTTGGTCAGTAATGCCGATTTCATGATGATAGCATTCCAGTCCATGGATGGAATAGGGAGGTTCCATCTGCAATGACTGTGCTTCTAATGGTGCCATTCGGAGAGCCACTTACCAAAGCGTCTCAACATGTATGGGCGACCATATGGAAGAAAAGCCTAATTATCCTATGAGTACATACGTTCCTATGACCTTTACATAACGCCATACATGGAGACACTGAAGCGACAACTGATTAACAAAGTCGCCCATGGGTGTGGAGACAAACGAACACTTACTAACCTCGTGTCAACGCCACACTTGGAATCCTCTTAGTTTGTGTTGTGTCAACAACTGTGATAGAAGTAAGCAAACACAGAACTTTTCCTTGTTCTGCTTCAGGTTGGTCTACCAACTCCAATGGGAACAATATCCCTCATGATCGTCGTAATAACAATCACACAAAATTATCTAACCGCCTAGCAGTCATCACTGAACTGCGGAATACCAATTAGAAGATTGCATGTCTACGCTACCATGGTTAGGCCGCTGAATAAGCCACCAGCAGGTTGCCGCTAGCGCGATCACTAAGTATAGGCCGCTTCATGTGCTGGTTAGTATGTCTGTCCGCACTGGTTACGGCTTAAGCTTCGGATCATGTGGTAGCTAGAATCTCCTCCTTAGACAGGCATCACAAGTTGCCTATTGGACGGTTGCAGTTTGGAGACCAATCATCGAGGTTTCCTTCAGATAGGCATCAAAATAGAACAGAAGGTGGTAACTCGACCACTTTCATTGGACTGCATGTCGCTTATGCTAGGGGCTTCCAACCGGTGTCCCATTGGTTAACGTCTCATGACCAATGAGAGTGTCAACGACGCCAAAACAGCGTTCTTAGCCTCGCTAACTTGAAAGCACTGCACGCGATTTTGAAAATGTGCCACGCTAAAAGCTTGGTGCAATGCGCTAACATGCGTGTAAAATGGTATAGAATGGTACTCCTCGAAAAGGTAACCAATAATTCTACTGACAACTAGGACAATAGGCAAAGGAAAAGCGGCTGCAATGTTCTAGACGCAGAGTTGTCGAAGAGCTGAAGAAGACACAAAACCGGCTATGCAGTGTTCCGACGAAACGTAATTCCCACTAGATTCTCCGGGTGAAGCGAGAAACGAACAGAAAAATGAAGGAATAACAGAATCAGCCAGTAGGATTATTGTGCACTTACGTCGGAAAGGGTGGATTTTCGTTTTCAGTCAGAGTAGAACCGTCAGGGCTGTCTGCATTAGCTGGAAAACAAGGATGGCGGAAATATATGTCGGGAGCTCGATCGATCGTTTTCCTGCCGTCTTCACTCTTTGTACAGCCAACGGAGGATTCTATCTGGATTGAAGTCACTGCAACAAATGCCAATTCAAATGTGTCTTCCGGATTCAAGATATCCGATGCAACCTGCAAAGGGATCCGGAAAAGGAAGTACTTTGATTTTGCTTCCAAATTGAACTAGAACTCTACCGTGTATCAGTACATATGTAGGCAGAATAAAAGGTATACAAAAATACTCTAATTTCGTTGATCAGAAAAATCGATGAACACTGAAACTGGTCGAGAAACAGATGGCTTGCTTAGGATATCCAGGGTTTGTGTGCTCGTCGAACAGATAGATTCGGTTGTAAGAACACTGTCAAAGTAAACTTGGAAAGGAATGCTTTGAGCTAGCAAATCCACCGGATAGCCACATTGAGAGACCGAAATATAGTTTGGTATAGGAAACACTTGGAGCCAAATTCCCACCTCGAAATGGCAGCTTCGTTGGGTCAACAGAATAGCTAATATATGCTGAGAGGAATAATGTAAAACTGGGAATATTGCAGTGGTCAGTTTGAGGCACATATTGTGTGGATCGATTGCGACCCACAATCTTAATAAGAAGCGCAATTCACAAGTTTATTTCCTCCATATATGATCCTAGTGAGCGAACTCATCCAAGTTGCAACACTTCATTCGGCCCAGAACTACTGTTAACAATTTTATTAAGGATATATTTTCGACGGAGCAAGACTGGATCACCCCGAGAGCTCCGATTAAACAGCTAACCGTTCTTAGTCGGGTTTTTGGAGTACCTGCCGTATGTCTTAGATTAGGACATGTAATCGCAGTAGTGGACACGGTTGACTCTGAAGTCAGCCTGTACCATTTCGATCACTGGTGCGCGTCCGAAGTTGAAAGTTTCGGTTTTTATCTCTCTCATCACTGCGCTCCACGACCGACGGTTTCTTCTCTCTCAATTCGGACTCATCAGGTAGAGATAATCTGAATTCTCTCATCTCCGGTTTTCCCCAGTCCAGATCTCAGTCGAGGTAGTGGGAACCCACAGGTGCAAACGTGCGTGTGCCATGTGGAGCATAAAATAGCACATCTTCAATGACTGTCACTTTGTGATGCAAAAGAGTTATTGGGACTCTCATATCGCTCTTAGAGATACCGTACGCTAATTGAAGTGTTAACGTTGGATCACAGTAGTATCTTCACCATTTGTAGTGACAGCATCAGTGTGGAAGCGATAGCGGCTTGGTAGCAGAAGTTGATGGGTTTGCTGTTCACCAGCTTCAGCTATGAGACTGCTATCACTCATGAACTGATGATACCACTTCAAAGGGCGATAAAACTTCTACCACCCAGCAGCCCAGCTCAATGAACATCACACAAATTAAGCAAGTCTACCGAGCTACCAGTATTTCAAGTAATTTTGAACTTGACATGGTTACCGGGTGTATGATGACACGAGGCTCGATAACCGCAAAATTTGACTTAGCTGTAGGAATTGAGCACAATTACGATTAAACTTGGTACTGATGACATGTCTCACTGTCCAAGCCAGGATATACGAGGCCCAATTTGTAGCTAGTTCCAGACTTGGCAAGACATGGTCCGCGGCCGCCAGTGCTGGCAATTTTGCTGTCGTTTCCTTGCCGGACTTTCGGTGTTAAGTGGGAGACTGTTGCTGGGTTATCTTTGGGTAGTTCTGATTAGGACAATGGGCAGCAAAAACCGAAAGGAAGCTATCGCGCAGATGTCCGGCCTAGTCTTCAAATGTCAGCTTGTTGCTCGTCACTGGGTGCTTTTGACAATATGTAAGCGTCTGGACTCCGAATGTTTGCATATTTGGCACCCTAGATCATCATGTTTTAACGACGGTGAAACATCAGTTCAAACAGCTGATGTATCGCCGTTGATGACGGTGATGGCGAATTAGTGGTAATGATTGTCTCCAAATATGGGATCCACTTGGTTGCCTCTCATCATATTTTGTAGTCACAAAAGTGTAACTCGCCATCATCCCCCAGAGTTCGGGTAATTCTTGAGCGTGCTGGCTAGAATGGAGAATGTAATATCACCTATAAGACCACAGCAGTAAATATGTACGTCGTTTTTATACGCAGACATCCTCTACACAGCCTCACAATATCCACAGCGGCACTGAATTAAGATGACCAATGAACAACGAAGTGAGATGCCGGTTGAAGATCATTGCGTACAAACCCAGCCTGGTTGTGAACGCACAGACGCACCTTTTCTGATATGCGGTGAGAGAGTGCATCGGGAAACACACAACGCTCATTGTCCCTTGAATCTTAACGTCGTAAGAATGAATTGTAATAAAGCACGACGTGAGCTGGGTGGAGTGGAATTCGGATATGCGAAGTAGCACAAGCAATGAAGCATCGAGCTCCCTTGAATGCATGTCCGTCACATATATTATCGACGTCTTGCGGATCAGCTCATAGAGTTTTGTTGATAGCTTCACTGCCAAGTAGCTAGTACTTCGTTTCGCGAAACAAAGCTTATGTGAAAAGAGAAGCATTAGGAAGTCAGTCCGTCAACGACTGCCTTGAAATCATTGTGAAGTCACTAATGATTGAGTTCACTAAATTCTAAAAAGCGGATTGGGAGTAATGGTAAGCTAAGCGGACTGATAGTAAAGTATTGTATTGACAGACATAAAGGGGCTCGTCATATTCGATCATCGCTGCCTTCGCAGCTTAGCTCATGTTCGGAGGGAGCACCGCGTGAGCAACGAGGGTGTTCGGCGTCGCGTATTTGGTGCAGGAAGAGCGAGTGAACCGCTCAGCACGATTATATCACGCACCAGGCTCCGATGACTGGGCCACGTGTTGCGCATGCCAGCACACCGACTTCCGCGACGTGCACTGTTTGCGAGTTGTGGGTGGGGCCGGAAGAGGATGAGGGGAGGCCAATCGATGACTTGGTCGAGAGAGATGAAAACCCTCACTTCGAAGTTGGCGTCGACTGGTGCATGCCGAATGCCTGGCTGGGGTCCTAAGGACGGTGAACACGTTTGGTTGGACACACTTGCTGATATGGCTTGGAGCCGGCCCCAATGGCGTTTGTGTTGTGAGTTCCTTTGTCCATCCCCCTCCAATCACGATCTCACTTGTTAGGCAGAATATGACTCTCCTTTTACGGTACGATAGCCAGCTGTTAGCTCTCCGGAACGATGTCCATCCGTTATTGGGGACTCAGCCGGCGCGCCACTGTCTGTTTTCCTTTTCTTGTCTTTTGTATTGCGGTACAATAGCTGAGGTGTTTTCCACCTGCAGCTAACGTGTAGAATAATGATGATGATAGTAAAGTTAATAAAAAAGCCAATTTAAAGTGACTATTTCGGCGTAAACACGATTAAATTTAGCAATCAGGCTAACATTTATCAGATAACCGCGCAGCTAGTTATAACAGTTCCCAAAGCAAACGGATCAGAGTTAAATAGAAAGGATTAGCAATAGCGATCTAAGACAATCACTAATGGATCCGATATTTCAGTTGAATAAATGAGCACATACCTGCAAGTGCAGAGTAGAAATTGGTCAAAGAACACGCCGAAAACGTTCCTAACTAAAAAGTGGACACATGAAAAGGTGGAGATAACTCTAACCGACAAGTGAGAATGAACAGGTCGGATAAAACATAGCTGCTTAATTAGCATTGCCTGATTGCTGCTGCTGCCGGTGCCTTCGTAATTCAGCTCACATCTGGTGGGAACACCGCGTGAGCAACGAGCGTGTTCGACGCATTGTTTATGGCACAGGAAAAAGAACTGAACCGCTCAGCACCGTTATTTCCCACACCAGGCTCCGATGGCTTGGCCACGTGTTACGCATGCCAGCCCACCGACTCCCGCGACGTGCGTTGTTTGCGCGCCGGGGGTGTGGATGGAAGAAGAGAAGGGGTGGCCAAGCGATGACTTGGTCGAGAGGAATGAAGGCCCTCACTTCTGAGCTGGCCTCGGTTGGAGCGTCTCGGCTCCCTGGTTGGGGTCCGTTTGGTTGGACATACTTGCTGATATGGATAGGAGCCGACCTCAGTGGCGTTCGTGCTGTGAGTTTCTTTGTCCCACCCCATCCCTCTTAGCCTCCCCTCCAACCACGATCTCATTATTTAGCCTTATATAATTTTGCATAGTAATTTTTTCTTGATGCACAGCAGCCGACTAGTGGCTTACCGGAACGATGCCAATCCGTTACCGGTAGCTCAGTCAGCTTGCACTAGTTGCATTTTTTCTTATTTTTTCTATGTATCGGGACACAGCAGCTGAGGTGTTTCCCAACTCTAGCTAACGTGTATGATGATGATGATGATTGCTGCATGAAACATGGCTCAACAAGAATCTTAGTGCTTGCATGACAGCGGTATGCTACTAGCTGAGCGTCAGCTGATGAGGTTTGGTAGGCACTGTCATAGGAGTTGGCCGGTAGCCGAAAGGATTACAATTTTGTCTTGTAACCGGGATGTCGCTCTTTCGAAACCGCGCAGTTGCGAGTGATGTCACTGTATATTCGGCTGACGAGCGACCAATGGTGGTCGCCTCGGCACGGTATGTCAGCTTACTGCGGGCGCCCTTTTTATGAGAATGGGAGACGGTCAGATTGATTGATTTTGCACAGCAGGAAGAAGCGTAGACACCCGTGGATAGATTTGTTCAATAGTATAGACCAAACATTGAGTACAGCGGTATATCTATTATATTTCGTGGCTTCAATCCGACTGTAATCTAAGCTTAAAAAAAACAATTTCTTATTTTTCCACAGTGTGCATGTCGCAGAGCTGCATCAACATGCGGAGCGGATAGATGACTTAGCTTCAAAACCAACTTTCAAGCTAAGCAGCGGCGAAACGTGTATTGGGCATACGGTTTGTATTACATGTGGCGAAGTAATGTTGAGAAGTGTGCAACCAGTGGAGCGGATGTGTTTGGAAGTCTTTCATTGAAGTAACATTAACTGGTGAGTCGATTGCGTGTAAAAGCCGACATGCACAGACCCCATAGGATAAAACAGGTCGTGGAGTGTGGTGCTGGGGACAATCCATGCTGAAAACTGCGCACCTCCAGTGCAATTCCCGTGATCGGAATGACCCCAAAGTGATCCAAATGTAAGCAAGATGTCGCAAAAGTGGATAACCAACTAATAGAACGCTGCATTATGATTGCTAAATGCTCGTCATGCAATCAGGTTTAGATCGACACAGAACAAACCGACAAATGAGGTATTAGTAAATGTTAGGGCTGGCTAGCGGAACAACCTCTTCGTGGTGCCAGCTGTGTGGTTCGGCTTTAATCCGTTCCAGCAAATAGTTCAGGGGCAGTGTTCCAGGACGTGGTGGGTTTTCGCCTGGTAAACATTCTCTCTATAAAAAGCCACGAATGTCTGCTTAACAACACTGTGACGTGGCGGTCGTGACTCGCCACAAAATAAAGTCATTGTCCCGTGGATATCCGGATAATCCTTTCCAACCCCCGGATACCAAACTTCTACTTGCACATTGCTGACGATATCAGACATTCAAGAATGGAGCAGCACAATTACAAGCACACTGGTTGGCGGCATCCGGTTTCGGATTTGCCTGTCACTGTAGTCAGCCACAGCACGCCTGCGCCTACAGAGGGACCATGGATGGCTTGCGCTGCACCACCCACACACCCCATATGCAGTGTAAACCCGAAGGAATAAGACCGGGAGGCATGCGGATTGGAGCCACGTTTCATCAACGGAGCCGGCCCACACTCCTTCACAGACAAACAAGCACGCTGTATTTGGGGAATCAAGTGCACACAAGGCGGTGGCTGGACCGTAGTCCGCTCCACACTGAGTGCATGGAACCACTCTTCGAGCCTAGCACGACCATAAGGACCGTGCACCCCGTCCCCTCCAGCAACGACCAACGGTCTCCTGGAGCCAGATGGACGAGGTAGTGGGTAATAGACAGATAGGCACCTTGTCAACATGCACATCAAGCGCAGCCACACCTGGGATGTCAAACAACAGCCAATCATTCGAAATGCCGATATCGAATAAAGTAAACGCATATGACGACATAAATACTCGCTAAATGAGCATATGGAAGCAATTGGTTAAATGTGAATACGCGATAAGTACAAAAGGTCCGAAAATCATTTAAAAAATACCACGCGATAAAATTACGCAAGTTTACCACAGTTTGCATGAGCGACTTGTGTAAGTTGGGAGAAGATTTTCAAGTAAGCAGAACAATAATAAAATGAAATGTCATGAATTTTATCCACATTTAAAAAGACCTAGTTTAAGTGTAAGTTGGTTTAGCCCAACTGCGGTGAAGAAGCATCATGAAAGCACAAACTACACAGCTACATACACACACACACACACACACACACACACACACACATACCCCGCTACACAACCATATACTGTTATGGCAAACATATCGGATTTTTGCACATTTTTGATAACGCATTGTTATGTCAAAATGATCTTGCCTGTAAAGGCGTGCCACACCTTGTCGAGAATAAAAGCTTCATTTATTTATTTAAATAGCCTAACCCGAATCAATGCAAGTCGCTGGAGCCAAAACAATGCCAGTGAACACATCCAGAGGTAAGAGGTATGCCCCCTCAAATTGATTTCAAGGGTTCGTAAGAGAAAGGACTTAAGGTTTCGGCAGTCAGTGATAAGGAACAAGCGGTAGGCGCGAGACCTTCGTAGATGTTACATGCTCCTTGAGGTCCTAACACTCATTTGATCCATACGCGTCTTACAGAGACCGTTGTTCTGCTTAACCAGTAACAAATGATCGATTCAGGTGTTCTGTTTCTATTGGTTGACTAGGATCTTGGCGGGCACGGAGAAATCAGAGTAGACAGAACAGAGTACAATATCGAGATCGCGGTATAACAGCCGCAAATTGCTACGTGTGCATTTGAGGTCGGAGCACATCTCGCCATGTGGCTGATCACATGGGTTACAGTGAGGAGGTGGAATTCACATCCTGAGTAGAATGACGTGGTGTTTTTAGCAAGCATGTTAAGCAAAGAAAGTAATACGTGAAGATGGTGTGATCAGAGCCAGTGCTGGGGTTACGGCTCTACAGTTACGCACCAGTTTAGTGAAAATGCTTCAGGCAGAGAAGTTCAAAAATATCTGGGTCGACTGTGCGTACGTTCCGACTGAAACAGATATCAATGGGTAGGGAAAACAAAAGGCTTAAATTGTAAAAAGACTGGATTGGTTCGCGCATTCTAACCAATTACAAACATGCAACCAGCGATAGATGCAGAGCAGTGGCCGCATGTTTGCGATTAAGGAGAACGCACTAACTGACAGAGTCATTTCGCAACATGTCTTCTGAGTTCCTTGTTTGGAAGCAATGAACGATAAATGCGTACAACAGTTGCCTTTAACACGAAACATTTTAGACAGAAGCCTGAAAATTTGCAACCCAAAAGGCGTGGTCTAGGTGGTTACTCTACCTCTTAGATTCGAGGGTAGCTGGTTTACACTTGTCTGCGCTGGTGCTTGGTATTGGTCAGATCGGCTGCGCGGTTGATGCCTATGACTTACATAAAAGTCATTGTCTTACAACAGTATACGAAATCCACTGTCGATAGCTAGAAGCAAATGTAAAGCAATGTAAGACAAGTGGTATGTTTTGAGTAAACATAGAGAACGACTCGGACACAGCGTTATCCGAAACTTCACAGAAAACGGTGTGAACCACTCAATGAATGGGCATATCTAATAGTATTTATGGGAGCAAACCCATTCGTCCTAGGGACATACTCGATTCTGATCGGATCCGAGGTGGTTTTTAATGTTGGACTTCTTCTTGCCGCTCTCAAAGCTGTCCAAGCTGCCGTGAGTCGTCTCGAACAAAAGGTGTGAAATAGCGGCAGGAAGCTTATTTGGTCTATAGGCTGGGCAAACGATCAATGCGTTTCTGTAGTTCTGAGCTCGAACGTGCTAGCGAAGAAAAGCAAAAGCGGTGAGAGTAGGACAGTTAAAGTGAGCTTTGCCAAACTGAAGAGCCAACACGATACGTGAATAACACACCAAAAGTTGAAAGTAGAGGAAGGTACATGCCGGAAAATGCATTTAGCTGCCCATGCAGAGTACGAGTGACATACAAGCTAAATCCGATTATGAACCTCTGTCCTAGATAAAGGAACTGAATGAGGCAAGTCAATTTGAAACAATTCAACATGAGATGCAATAGATCTTATGGCACAGAAGTTCGAGTTAGTTACAGAGATGGATTGGCAGAACAGCAGCACATAATGTGAAGAAACAAATTGCCTCCGCGCGATCAAAGTGCCAAACTTTGTGAGTTTCTTTGTCCATCTCCCTACCTTTCAGATTCCGCCTCCAATTCCGAGCTCATAAGAATTGCATAATATAATGTCAAACACTATATTATTTGCTTTTGAATATTTTCGTAGTATAATTCTTTTGTATTGCGGCACATTAGCTGGTGTGTTTCTCACCCTTAACTAACGTATAGTGGTGATGATGATGCACGATCAAGAGTCAACGCAACAATTTCACTACACTCCGCAACAGGTTCAAATAAAGCCAAAAGAAGTGAGTAGATTTTATGGCACAGAAGTTCGAGTTAGTTACGGAGATGGATTGTCAGAACAGCAGCACATAATGTGAAGAAACAAGCAGCTTAGGCGTGTAGAGTTAACGGTCGATCAAACTGCTAAAGTTTGGGGCTTAATATGACGGATCTTTTCATGACACGCACCAGGCTCCGACCGCTGGGCGACGTGTTGCGCGTGCCAGCATATCGATTCCCGTGACGTGTATTGTTTGCGCACCGGCGGTGCGGTTGGAAGAGGAAGAGGTGAGGTCAAGTGATGACTTGATCGAGAGGAACGAAAACCCACACTTCAAAGTAGGCGTCGGTCGGTGTATCCAGACTGCTTGGCTGGGCTCCCAAAGACGATGAACACGTTTGGTTGGACACACTTGCTGATATGGAGAAGAGCTGGTACCAATAGCGTGTGCGTTGTGGGTTTCTTTGCCCATCCCCCTACCTTTCAGATTCCGCCTCCAATTCCGACCTCATTTAAATTGCGTAATATAATAGCTAACATTATTGAATTTTGAATTATTCGCAGTGTACAGCTTTTGTATTGCGGTACATTAGCTGAGGTGCATTTCTCACTCTTAACTAACGTGTATTGGTGATGGTGGTGTACGATCGATAGTCAACGTAACAATTTCATTACACTCCGCAACAGGTTCAAATCAAGCCAAAAGAAGTTAAGTCTCGTAGGAGAGGGTGAACAGCTCCTGCTCCACTATAAAGAAACAGAAAGAATATGCGATACAATAGGGGGGAACCGGTGAATTTGCGTGCGACCATTGGTGGTGAAAGTTTCAAACAGAGTGTCAGTTTCTATACACTCACAGAATATGGTTGAAAGTGTAGAAAAACATCGGGAATTTTATGTAGAAGGAGGTTTCACGAAAGCAGAAGCAGCGTAAGTGTATATGCCAGCACTCGGCAGAACGGACAAGACATCTGGCTTAGAACCCAGAGGCCGGAGGTTCAAGTCCGCGCGGGAGACAGTGTAACTTCCGCAGTGCCCTTAGCCGACGCGCGAATGGTGGTGGTTACATGGCAAACAAGAATCGGTACGGCGCACTGTTAATGCCTTTCTCTTTTGCCAGCTTCAGATACCATCTTAAGTAAAACAGGTGACAGAAAATACTAGTTTTACATTAAGATCGACCGCATCGTTCGACCAGAGTTTGGTTATTAGCTAATCAAATAGGAATTATAAAGGTTTGGGAAGAATAAGAGGAATAGTGATCCGAGTACCTGACCTGGAACCCCTTCAATCTGGGTTCGAACTCCCTCTACTGCCTAGGTTTACGCTCACTGACGGTATCTCAGCCAGCGTACAATTGCATGCAGTTGCGCCGTCGCCAATCACCAAGACAAAGTAATCGAGGATTATTTGCAGCAGCTCCAAATTGGACATCTTTCCACTCATCTGGAAGCACAGGAGACTCTGTGACATGTGACCACTACGAAGAACCGCGATTAGTATTAAATAAATAAATAAATAGTTTATTCTCGTCTCTGCGAGGCACACCATCAAGGGCGTGATCATGGTATTACAGACATGTATGATGGGCAATTGCACAAAGTAGTACATTTTGACCAATAGCATAGGAATTTGTGCATGTGTTGAGATGTAAAACTATGTTTAACTGCGTATTTGTAAGGGGACATGTGTGCGTAGGTAAATGTGACTGTGTGTGCTTCTGTTCGTTGTGTTCGCCATCAAAGGGGGAAATCAATGGAATGCTTTGAATCAGATGACGTCCGTGATGTGTGAATGATCCTCCGGAAAAGGGAAGAGGCAGTGACTTTATTTAGTGGCGAGTCACATCGGCCACGTCACTGTGTTGTTAAACGGATACTTGTGGCTTTTTATAGGGAGAACGCTTGCCAGGCGAAATCTCACCACATCCTGGAACACTGCCGCCGAACCATTTGCTGGAACGGGATTTACCCGAACCACCCAGCTGGCACCATGAGGAGGCTGTTCGGCTAGCCGATACATAAACAACCAAAGATGTGCGTACTGCTGATATGGACTAACACTAATACTGTTCACCGCAAATGGAATGCAGTACACATTTTAGTATTGCGCGACATGAACTACGAAATCTACAGAATTAAGGTCCATGGAATCATGTAAAGTCTGTTCGAAAACGCATAGACTTAGTGGCTTCAATGTAACGTACAAAAGCTAACCAGGATAGTGGCATTTGAAGACCATCCACCGTCCCCTGCAAAAGCAGGAACTTGCATAACAGTGGAGGACGGGTCGGATTACATCGCAGTTAGATTGCGATCCATGATGATCAGTTATCACCCCTATGGCTCAGTGGCATACACTGCTGGCTAGTGATGCAAACCACTAGTGGTCATGAGTTCAATCCCCTGAAGTGGAGCGAGGGAATGCGCATGGCTGACGACGCCTAATGTGGCGAAACGGCCATCTGGTGCAGTTCAGGATTGGTAATTCGATTACGTGGTCGGTAATCTAGTTAAGATGAACTTGGTTACTCATTAAATTTCATCTACCTATTAGTAACGTAAACCTTCAGTGTGACTTCATTGATCAGCTGATGAGTATTCCACACGCAAGGTTCCAGCATGCCAAGCGTAGCGCCAGTCTTCAGTACGAGCGCGCCATTCGCTTGCCAATTCTAAGTCTGTGGCAGCATTCACAGGAGGTAGCAAAAGTTTGATGACGTTTCCAAAATGTCGCGAGTAATCATTATTTATGGACAGCACAAGGACTCCACTCCTGGTGTAGGCTAAAAGAAACAGACATTGTTACTTGTGTTCATTGTGAGTCGGAACTTGGCCGCCGTCGGAGAAAAAGCCGTCGTCATGTGCTACAACTCATCATCACGGTGCGCAAACAACCCGTAGTCATCAGCAAACAGCGACAACTACATAGTTGTTTCACCCGCTTGGGTTCTCGCAGCGAAACGATGGACATTCTGCAAGCAACCATATGTACGGTGCTCGAGACGGACACTGTCTTCACCGGTATTGAAAGCACAACACATTATTGCAGTTAGATACATATTCAAAAGGGTGGAGGTTAAGATACATCCTTGCTTCATACCAGAAACAACCTCAAATTCATCTGATGCATCTTCGCCTGCATAGCTCTGTGTAGGCATTCAGTTAGATATATAAACTTACCAGGGCAAATGAACTTGCCGAAAATCAGTAACAGTACCCGGTAGTTCAACGCGTTAAAGGTCTTGATGAAGTCAACGAATACCGGATACAATGGTTGGTCTCGTTCACAGCACTTCATTCACTTTATTCAACGACGTCGCAGTCAAGCCCGCACGCAACTAAAAGACAAACGTCAGCCCTGTGACGGTGGCTGAAAGCTGAGGTGGAGGGACCCGCCTGTCACAGTGCGGTCGATCAGGCGTTCGATCGAGTGGGCGACTGATTTTTTAAGTATACAGCTAGTTGTACTTTTTGCCCCAGAATTGTGAATAGAACGCTAGTGTTCAGAGCCGGTGTGTTTTATTTCTCTTGACGCGGCTGGGAGACCCAGGTACAAAACATGGTGACAGAGGTACAAACGTGCCAAACTCCGCTCGCCATTAAGGCGCAATCAATGATCTGATTGCCAACCCCGCTAGAGATGAGAGAAAACACATTGTCGGACAACTGGAAAGCGTGGAAAGCGGATTGGCTGGAATTCGCGTCGTTGATTCAGTTGGAAGAATATCCAAGACCATACCAGTTGGCAATGTTCAGATACTCCATCGGCTCTGAAGTAAGTCGGATAATGGAGGCCTGGGATCTACGAGACAATGAACCGGATGTTTTGGAAATGATCGAGGGTTTCGAAGGATACTGTGAAGATCGATCGTATTTTTTATTCATTGCCGTCGAGTGGCTGAGAATGGTTCAGTCGAGCCTAAAAGCGATCAACAGTTGCAAGAGCGATTACCAAATAACGTGGAAAAGAAAGAAGATCAACAATGCCTTTCTGCAAGACCCGAGATTCAAGGATTACCAGTACCGTCAAGAGTTAATTCAAGAGGCGCCGTGAGTACGTTGCTCGAGAAACAATACATCGGAATGCAGTGTAGTGTGAAACACGGTGGTCACAAAATTCGGAACGACTTCATGGTGCACCCAAAGGGAAAGGCTGTGGTGGACGCTCGCGAAAAAGCAAACAATAGACTTGTCGAAGTCAAAGTAACACATGAGGATCCTTATCTAAGGCTACTGGGAAGGAGTACGCGTTCTACCGAATTCGGCAGCAGTCCAGTGCAGCTTCAATTCAGACACAGAGTAAACAGCAAGCTCACCCGCAGTGGGCGAGGAGATAGAAAAAGCAACACAAACCTGCGAAAAAGAAAGGATGTGATAGTGGTTGAAGGCTGAGGCGGAGGAACTCGGCTACCTCAGTGCAATCGACCAGGCGATTGATCGAGTGGTCTACTGAGTTTTTAACTATACAGCTAGTTTTACTTTTGCCTTAGAATTGTGAATAGAACGCTAGTGTGTTTTGTTTCTCTTAACGAGGCTGGGAGACCCAGGCACAAAACAAGCCCTGTCTTGATTTCATAGTCTGATGAAGGCCGTTATTAACGGTGAATTAGATATGAGTAAAAACTTGATAACGATGAAGACTTTGGATGCTTCTGCGAAATGCATCTGAAACTAATACTTAAGTGTGGATGAGCTAAAGAATACTATTTCAAGGAAGTTGGTGGTTCACTGCAGCAGATGCATTGTGCTTAAAAAATGCATACTAAGGTAAAGCATTTTCGAGTGGGCACTTTCAGGTGGATATCATTAGATAATTGCTAAACGTATCAAGATAATATGTTTAATTGTGAGTGAATAATAGCGATTATTAGGGTACAGAAAACGAAACTGCACCGGAGAGGACTCACATCTGAAGGCTGGATGGGCCAATCTGTGTCCCAGGTGTGATAGTCGTTCAAACCGAGAGCACACAAAACGCTGTGCCAGATGAGAAATTCTCTACGTGTCATTTCCGGACTGGTGATAAGCAGTGCCGACGCATGTGCTTTGACAGACTGAGGTGATGGACCCCTGATGTCCAAGCGGGAAGTCGATCCGCGAGCTAGATTTGATGGACCTTCGAGATTTGGGATAGTGCGCACATATAAGTGTTCATACTGAATCAAACGGCTTCCCTAGTAAAAAGTTAAAGTGAATAATGAGAATGGGGTGACAGGAGTGAAAAGGTGCGAAGTGCCAACTATAAGATTATGGACGGCACTTCTTTACAGTGCTGCTGGCTATGGTAAGTAAAGAGGTGCACCGTTACAAGTGTCGAACTTTCTCAATGAAGTAGCAATAGAAGAGGTATAGTTAGGATATTACTATCTGTTGCATAACGAAAAAATACCATCCTTGAGGTACAGCCTATCAGAACATCCACATTTGAAGGAAATCATCGTCCTGAAGAATTCAATTCCATTGAGGTGTAAGAAAGAAACTGAGAACTGTTAAGTGAGGACGTATTCTGAAAGCACCATTGTGTTCTGATATCAAATGTCAAACAATGGTAAATAGACAACGCCTCAGGTTGCGACCATGGTGCGTCCATAAAGACAACACGCTATTCTTCGTAGAACATAGATGAGCGTACTTAGTGGTGGCATTGCCAAGTGTTGTGTTTCATGAACAGATTGGGAGACGAATATTTCTCAACATAAACTGCATCGTCCGTGCAGGTATAAATTCTGACAACTGCTATGCGCAACATCGATTGCGAGCAACGATTGAGATAAATGTTTCGCTGAAAAATACTAAGAGTCCGCCACACATGCAAAGAATCGCTGAAAATATACCCAGATGACGACTCGGTAACCTGTAGGATAATAAGGATGAAGGATATTTGGAGATGCCTGATTTGAAATTCAACACGTAGTTCACTGTGCACTTGGGGCTGCAGATCAAGACAACTGGAGTCAAGGAGTAAACCCGTTTCTTAGCGGTTGCTAGCTAGTAATATCGTCATCAGGCTACCATAGTTCGTGTTGTAATCCATGCATAACTAATGGGATGCAAAGTTGAGGTCCAAACCGACGAGACAAAGGTTGGTCGAAGATCCTAATGACCTAGTAGTAAAGATGTACCCCGACAACTGAACGGAACGGGATTCGAATTGCATCTTCGATTAGATCTGTCAGAACAGTTCCAACCGATACAAACCTTCCAGGAAAGCAATCTTAAGTGTAACAGCGTCTAAAACAATAAGCACTAATGCGCGACGTCCAAGATTGAAATGATCCAAATTAAGATTGCGTATCATAGTCCAAGCATACAGTGGGTGTTCCAATCCCGGAGGTAGGAAAAAAGTAGTCTACTGCAGTCAGCTTGCAAGTTACGGCGGCCTGCGACAACCCCCCCCCCGTGGCTCAGTGACATAAGCTGCGGGCTAGTTAGAGAAAGCTACTAGCGGTCGCAGGTTGGGTTCCCTGAACGGGACCGAGGGAATGCACACCACAGAGGATCCCAAATGAGGCGAAACGGCCGTTTGGTGCCTTTCGAAGTTGTGGTTAGACTATCTGGTTTATCAGCTATTGTGACGATTCAATAAAAGTTTGGTAAAAATCCCCATACTCATTGGTAATAGGAGAGTTGTTCTCTTCGAGCCGGACGATTCGGTCGTACATAATTCCCGATCAATGTGAGATCTATAGCGAGTGACAGGAAGTAGCTCCGTTAGTGGATAACGGTCCTCATCCAAATCCGGAGGATGATACCAATGGCTAAGAGGCGGAATCCGATATAAAATTTAGGCACTAGCGATAGCGTTCTATCAAGACTAGTAGCCTGATTTCGCACCCAGAAGTGCTTGAGCACTCGACAATGGTCGCCAAAACAGTTTCAATGAGGTGGACTGAATCCCTGAACTTTCCTATAGATTGGCTAGGTGACGAGCATGTGGAGTGTATCATTCGCCAACCAGCTGGTGGCCTGCGTGGTCACAAGTGGTTGTTTTCAATTCATTAAGCAGATGCATTGATTTGGTCCACCGAAAAGTAAGAGGGAAGTAGACCAAGACACGTCGGATTCCAGCTCCTGCGTCTTTGAGCGCCCGAGTCTACCTTATAGATCCGTCTTGGCATCAAAGAAACAAGATTAAAACTATTAGCTGACAAAGTCGTCGAATAATAGACACCGAAGATGCTATTTTGATCAATGACATAACGTCTTCAGCCAAAGTGGCCAAAAAGGCGAACAACTAAACACCACATACAAACCGATGTGTAGGCATCTCGGATCAATGGAACGCTAACTGCAGACTCACCTTCGGTGGGTTAGCTAGAACCGAAATAGTAAAGAGTACTTAAGTTGGAGACATTAGAAGAAAACAGAGTCAACGCAAGTAATTGTTATCTGGTGGATCAAAAACGACTCGCTAGCCGAACTACCTCCAAGTGGTGCCAGATGGGTGGTTCGGGTTTAACTCGTTGCAGCAAATAATTCAGCGGCAGTGTTCCAGGACGTGGTGCGTTTCGCCTGGCAAGCGTTCTCCCTATAAAAAGCCACAAATGTTTGCTTAACAACACTGTGACATGACGGTTGTGACTTGCCAATAAATAAAGTCACTGCCCAAGTTTACGCTGACAAGCTTATCGGATCCATGGACGTGAAACATTTCTTCAGACCTCGGTGAAGTGATTGAACTCATTCAAAAGGACATTAACACATTTACAAAAACAAGCAACACATCTACCTACATACCTAAATTTATCGTTTCACACATATGAAAATCCTATGATACTATTGCACATTTCTTGATCAATTGTTGTACTATTACAATGATCACGCCTTCAACGGCGTGCCTCGCGTAGCCGAGAATATAAGGTTAGTTATTTAAAAACAACCCGGAACTAAGAGTAAAGCAGTGACCTGATTTCCCGTCGTATCAACCTATTAACCGAATCAACAGATTTGTAAATCATCCCTTCCCGAAGGAGGAACATGTGGACCTTACCAGGTATACTTCGATTTGTACTGGCAGCTTCTCAAAAAGTTCCACGTCACGTTCCACTTGCAGCCAAACGCCAAAATTCACTCCAGCATCATGTGAAGCCGCACTTTGGCCTCCAGAATGCTCAAGAGCGGAAAAGAGGATAGCGTCAATCCTGGAGCGAAAGGTGTCCGGTGCGTTCTTTGTTGGGAACGAGATCCATATGGTGTCATCTTGTGAGGTGATGTGAGATACAGAAGCCGGTTCAATGGGGAAGACGCGTCGATCTAAGCGTACGCCTATCTCCAGTTGTTCTCGTGGATCACAAGCCATCCCACCGTAAGCTCTGTTGGATTCGTTGAGGAGCTAAATGGTGAGTGGATAAGAAATCGGGAAAACCAATTCCCAAAATTAGTGATGTGAGTGAAGTGGCTTTGAAGTTAAGTTGTGGTAGTCTTATAGGCAATTTGCGATAGATTTGCCAAGGCGCTCAACAACCCAAAAGCGAGTTCATCGACCGCAATAAACAAGCACATCCACCAAAGGAGATTTGACAGCCAGATCATCGCTCTGCGACAAAAGACGGAGCGTTTCAAGAGGAAGGAAAGAATGCAGCCGCACGTTTCAAAGGAGTCCATATGGATAAAATAAACGGACAATAGGAGGGCAATGAAAGATTTGTAGACAATGATCTCATTAGAAAATACGAAACATTTGAATTCCGCCTTTATCCAAAGCAGCGAGCTGTGGTCATCAGCTGCGAGGAAACGGACTGAAGGTAAAGGGTTCCGGTTCATTTAGGAAATCGTTTTCCATTCTGGTTCGTTAGCCCGCAGTACATGATGTGCCCCTACAACGTATTAAGATGGTGTCAGCCAAAAACGGTGAAAGTTTCCGGAACGCAACAAGGCCATACGACCAAAAACGGTTAAATTTCCGGGGATACTTTGTAGCCAATTCAGATGTAAGCATAGAGAGATAAAGTTAAAGTCCAAATAAGTGTGTTATCTATTGCCGAATAAAATGACCACTTAAGAAGAGATTCGGATTGCCAAGGTAGTTATTTACGAACCGAAAACCAGTGCTAGCGAACATATGTTTGCGCAACAGGCCAAGTTTGAGTGGCTAGGCAGTAACATACGGTTACAGTGTTTAGTTAGAGGACGGTAGGGGAAGATATCTGAAAATCGTCCCACGTAGGAAGCTACGCAGTCAGCTTAACAAGTGAGAAATGGCACTACTCGATCGAGAGAGGATGTACAAGAAGAGTAGACCTTCCACTGAATCGTACTTCATATTGCACTCTAGATAAATAAATCAATAGACGGTACATTCCTCGGCAGTGCGACGCACGGGCAAACTGAGTGCGCGGACCAATAGCAGTAAATAAGTGTAGATCATTAGCAAGAACGGTAGAATCGAGCATCACTTGCTCCGTCTGGAGTGCGAATAAAATGGACTAAAAGAATCATGTTGGCTTGCGCGGCAAACGGGTTTTATAACATTTCAAGGAAAGCAGGAAGGGAAAAAAGTAAGTAGATTCACGAAAAAAACTTTTGCATGTGCAGTAGAGGCCAATTCATACGAAACCGAGGAAGCTACATGTCGTCGAGTGTGAGACAATGAGTAATAATGCAGTACACAAGCGTATGCATGTAGTATGGTTGAAAACTCGACGCATATGTCTGAAGAGATAAGACAAAATGTACTCACGCTAAATCGCAGGGCGATAGTATCAGATGGGCTTGCAGTCTTTGGAAGAGAAGTGTTCAGTAAACGCAGGGGATGCTTAATGGTGAATCTTTTCTCGCATCTGCCCTACAAAATATGGAATAGGTAAGAATGGAATTCATAAGCAAGTGTGAATGAGAAAGCCAAAAAGCAAGACAATGAAGCCGCTTGTCGGTGTTTTGCTGTTAACCGTACCTAGATAGTAAACTCGTATGATGAGGAATTGGGCGAATTGTGGTGTCGTGGATACCTGAGGCAGCGGTAAAGATTTGTAAGGCTGGATGAACAAACGGAAATACTCCGACGCCTACTGACGGGATCCAGAATGGTAGATGTCTGGGTGGAAGCAACAGGGTAGCGCGATGCACTTTTCTGGCGACCGGTTGAATTTTAAGTTACCGTATACCTTCGGGTCTTATGTAGTGGTAGTTACCGTCTCGAGCTTTTGTGTGCGTAAGCAACGTTGTGACCAATGGTGTTCGCGTGGCACCTAGGCATCAGGATGAGAATCCAGCTTACGGCCGAGAACAATGTAGCAATGAACAGTAGTGACCAAGGTTACTGGTATAAATTGACGAATTCAACAATGAGTTAATAAAATCTGGCAAATATAGGAACAATCCAAGGTGGTGAAGAAAATGAATTCAGTGAGGAAAAAAAGTGTCAAGTGAACCAATTAGGGCGCAGGCGTTGTTAAACCGTGGATCACCTGCTGTGAAGGTGGCACAACGGCTCTGCTTATTTTATAGTTAGACGCGAGGGAATTGATCCAAAGGGAACTGGATGCTAATGTTTCCCAGGAGCTGTTCGGAAGCAAAAAATATTTATGAGTGAAATTCGGATACGGTAGCTTTGCTGAAATTATTCGTGTCTTTTCAACTTTGAAAAATGACGTAGATCTGTTGATTTATCATGGAATAGGTTAATGACAACCCGTGGCAAGAATGTGTGAGTCGGGCAGCGGACTTCGCTCATCAATTAAATCAGTCCACTCTGCAAGAATTCTACAGAGAGCCCAGTGGATTGGCTTATAACGCAAGCTGTATCTGTAGAAGAAGGTTGGACTGTTATGAGAGAGAAAGTGACATTACTGTGTTGTCGGTTTGTACCGGAAAACTGCGCAAGTAAAGCCACATTGGTTCCACAAGGAAAGGTAGAAAAATGGATCAGTGGTGGTGCAGATTGTAGGAGAAATTTCTCTTCTCGAGAACCCACAACGGCTACGAAGCGTATGAAAGGCAGCGAAGCAATTGCAAAAACGAGCGAGCGTCGTCATTTCGAAGAAGGGCTTGCAAGCACTGCAAAAGCCGCCCTGAGAAGAATCTTGGCTTACATGAAGCCGCCTCTCAAACTGGAGGGTGATCTATCAGTGCTAGGGGCCTCAGACGGACAGTACTTAACCTCCAGCGTTGAGTGTGCGTCCACATTTACGGCGCATTTCGTTTCTGCGTTTGCAAATGACCAGGTGTCTGCACCGAGTTCGAGGTGTACCAAAAGTACCAAACTCGAAAATCGGGGTCGCGGTGCTGAAGAGGTGTGTAAATTAGCCGCCAACGTTTACGGCACCAAAATTGCTGAGCCTATTAAACTTCACTCAAGTCCCTTTTGGCTATCATCACGTCTGCAGTTCACTGTCAGAAGGTTCATTGTCGAGAGACTGGAAATGCCCAGCGGTAGAGCTGATTCTGAAAGGTGGTGAACCCAGCAAAGTGGACAATTGCAGGTCAATTTGTCTAACACCTACTTAGGCAATTACTTAAAAAAATCTTCAAGAGGGTTCTACTACAGCTGTTACTGACGCTCGCACAGCACAGTATTATGCCAGGCCGCTTGTGCACTACCAACCTGCATGTGACGAAGGGTGAATGGTTCATCATCACCATCATCATTATACACGTGTCAGAGGTTGGAAACACATCAGCTACTGTGCCGCAATATTTTAAGGAAAAGGAAAATAAATACAACAGTTACATACTAGCTGAGTTATGAGCAACGGATAGGCATCGTTTCGGTAAGCTACCAGCCGGATACTAGGCAAAAAGAAAAATTATTATGTTTTACGCCATGAAAAGAGATCGTGGGTGGAGGGGAAGACTAAAAGGGATGGGAAAGGACAAAGAAACTCACAGCAGGAACGCCACTGAGGTCGGCTCCTTGCCATGACAGCAAGTGTATCCAGCCAAACGTGTTCACTGACTTTTGGACACCAACCAAAGAGCCGTGACGCTCTAACCGAGGGCAGCTCCGAAGTTAGGGCCTTCAGCAGTTGATGCAGTGCGACGAGCGCCTCGAGCGAGTGGCTTCTACGTCCCGAGACACGTTGTCTAACTTCCACATTGCTTACGTGGTGCTGCCACCACACACGAGCAATGGACCACAGACAGCGGTGCTCGAAGACGGAGAGCTTGCGCAAGTCATCTTTACTAATGGGCCATGTCACGCATCCGTACAACAGTACAGCCCGAACAGTTGCACAATAGACCAGCCCTTTGATGGAGAGACGAACGTCGTGGCGACGCCACAAATGCCTCAGCCTAGAAAAAGCGAGGCGTACTCTCGAGATGCGCATCGAAATCTCGTCTCCAAAAGCCCTGGCAACAGTGATGAAAATTCCCAAGCAGACAAAGCTCTCCACAACCTCTAGTGTCTCACCAGCAAGCGTGAGTGCAGGCAGAGGCACCTGCCAGTCTTTGAAGAGAGTCTTGCATTTGGATGGCGAAAAGTACATACCATACTTTGATGCGTCAATCGCCAAGCGGTTTAATGCAAGTTGGACGACGTGTAGATCGTCACCCAGCATGACGATATCATCAGCATAATCCAAATCAACAACTCGACTACCTGGGAGGAGCTCAACGCCAGCGTTCAGCGAATCGTGTAGAGCGTTCTTCAGGACATCCTCAATGACAAAGTTGAATAGGAACCTAGAAATATGGCTTCCTTGTCGAACTCCACTGGAGACCACAAAGGTAGGCGAAAGCATGCCATAAGCCCTAACCCTGCCCGAGGTCAGACTATATAAAGCGTGCAGTATAGAGACGAACTTCTCTGGGATATCATTCCTCAGTAGGCAGTGCCACAGTACTGTACGATCGACAGAGTCGAAGGCTACACGGATATCCAAGAACACAGCAATTGTTGGCCTCTGATACACATGGCGGAGCTCGAGGATATGGCGAAGTGTGAAGATTTGATCGATACGGCCGCGACCAGGGCGAAACCCAGCTTGTTCTTCTCGTTGCAACGATTTGCGTGTTGGAGATAGTCTGCGAAGTGTGATGGACACCAGCAGGTTTCAAACGACCGGGACTAAACTTATTCCACTGTGGTTGGAGCAGATTGTGCACAGGCCCTTTTTGAAGATTGGGACGACTATCGATTCACCCCAAGATGACGGAACTTTCTCTTTCGACCGAATTTTCGAAAACAAAGCGGTGAGTTCTCAAACCAGCGATGCGCCACCATCTTTAAATAGAGCTGGAGGAAGACCATCAGGGCCGGGGACTTTATAACGCTTCATGTGCTGGCGCACCTGCTCCATTTCCACCACGTCCTGGAACATGGTCGCCGAACTATTCACTGGAACTCGAAACACCCAGCTGGCACCACGAGGAGGCTGTTCACTACCATACCACATGAGGATTTGCCTGCTGCTAGCAAGGTCTGGCGAATATGTGACCAGTGACCATCAATTGTCTCCAGTGAGCGCTTACTCAACTCGCATGTCAGCGTACTTCGATACGCATTCAGAAGAGCTAGCTTTGTCAGTTGGCTGGTGCCAATGCGCTCACAACGTCGTCGTGGGCGTCCGTCAAAACGCATTCGCATGTCAGCACATACAAGTGCAGGATCGGTGTCCACGCATGTGCTACAAATCGAGCGACAGTTCTAGATGCAGCCTCCCCAGCGGTAACTGATTGCAATGTGATCGATCTGCGTCCAACGCTGGTGGGCGCCAAGTCACCCTCATGCGGGTGCTGTGTCGGAAGGTAGTGCTCGAAAGAAATAAGCGGGCATCTTCACACAAATGAAGTAACCGATCACCGTTATCATTACGGGAGCCTACACCGTGCCGACTGCCCAGATGCATTCCATCAGTGGACAACTTTCCAACTTGTGCGTTCATATCCCCAGCCAGCACAACAGTGTCCGTGCTTCTTCTGTGGCGAAGAAGATGGGTCAGTTGGCGGTAAAAGTCGTTCTTCACCGAATCATCGCTACAGTTTGTGGGCGCGTAGGCAGCGATGATGAATAGGCACCCATTAGTCCCGCGCGACTTCGACACTTTGAACGAGCCAGCCAATCGGACCGCACACATCCAGCTACTGATTGGAATCCAATCAACTAGAGTAGTTTCTGCCGGGGGATAAAGGGAAATGCCAACACCAGCTTGGTCGGTGCTCGAAGCTACATCGTCACCGGATAGGTGCAATGAGAAAATACTGCTGGTGTCACCTGAAGGGGATCGCAAAGAGAGCACAGAGCTGGAGTCTTGCAGACGGGTCTCCGATAAGCAGCAGATATCGATCGAGAGGGTCTCCAATGTTCGGGCAAGTGCTGCCTGTTGACCGATCTGCAGCAGTGTGCGTACATTGAGGCATGGCAATCTGAAGGAGGATCGAGGGCTCCAAATGGAAGCCGATGAACTGGAATGGACTAGTGGGTTGGATATGGGCTTGTCGACAGGAGAGGAGTGACGATCCGCGTTAGCATGTGAGTTGAAATTAGATAAATGCCTAGCAATGTTGGGAGAGGGCCAAGAATCGAGGGGTTGAAAACCGGGGGATATGAGTGAAGTTGGAACGGGAGGGTAAGAGTGAAAAAGCGTAAGAAGGGGAATAAGAAGACGGGAAGGCTTGAGCAGTAGCATCCAAATCCCTATCCACCCTGCTCGATGCAGCAGATAGGGCACCGTTGATTATCCTCTGCGGTGACCAGAGCATCAGAAATTTGTTTGAAAAGAGATTCATTGTATTGCGTGGACAGGATACTGTCAGGTTGCAAATGCCCAGACAGGAGAATGATTAGGGTTCTCAACCAAAGGCTTTGGTTCAAAAACCTAACCGCAAGGCAGCGGGTTTGGCGCTAGGCTACAAGCAGTCCGTTTTAAGGTATAAGGTGCGACCCTTATTCTAACCCCCAACCTGGAGGACCTGGAGGCTGAGTTTGTCTGGCCTCTAACCATTGACCAATCTGGTATGAGTGACTCTGCAGGTACAAAAGCACCACCCAGCATAGCTGAGGTGCATCGCTGAGGCACACAAACCATCGCACCACGGTAAGGTCTAGCCTCATTACGATGGTTGTAGGTAGGAAACCAGGAGAAGTCTATCGACAATCTCACTAAAGTGTTTGCCAAAGCAAAATGCAAAATCCTCCACCTCAAGCTGAGTGTGTGCGGTGTTAGTGAATCATTGCACAAGTGCATGCAGGATTGCTAGTTAGTTCTTGTGCACCAGACTCGAAAGTTACGGATGGCAGTTCGCAGTAAAACCACAAATGGGCACTCTACCACCGAGTGCATATGACAGATGATATTCTTTAGGCGGATACCATCCGAATGACAAAACGAATTTTATGGTACGTAATTGTTCCGATCAATTTGGTTCGTCTATTAGCAGACTGTTCGTGGAACAACAGTTACCGGTGAAAAGGATGAACAGAACGCAAGACAACGGTGGACACACCCATAATCAACGATTGTCAGTTCAAAACGTTGAATTCTCTTTAGCAATTTGTGGAGTACAGAAAGGGAATGAATGTAGATGCATGCATTTCGGATAGTGTCCCCCAGTACCGATGTGCAAATGTTGTTCCTAATTACGGGTGTAACTTAACATACTTGAGGCGCAAAGTGAATGTCAGAAGTTCCAACCCTATGCCCATGGCAATTTTAAGCTAACAAATAATTGTTTTTGCACCCAAATAGCTGGCTCTATCCGGCTTCATACGACAGTTTCGGTGAAATGAAGGCAGAAGAGAGTAGAGTGACGCAACACACTTCCGAACGGCGATCCGAGCTGTATCCGGTGACAAGCAAATGCATACTTATTGGGGAATCCCGCGGCCTGCGCGAGCACGGAGATTGGGTGGGGGAGGGGGGCGGGCGGGAGTGATGGTCAATTTCACGTTGACCCCATCTGAGCAAGTATTCATTTATTCGGGAAGTCAAATACCTAGCGACTCTGCCAATGGGACTGGATCCACAGGTGTCACTATGAATCACATAAGGTGCAAAGCTATCCAGGATTCTACATCGGTTACGTTCACCATCTTCTTAAATGTTTCATATTTCGTCACGTCATTGAGTACGACAAGCATTTTCTGAACACATCGCGCTGTTCATAGCTACCAATCCGCAGCGCTTCTCTGGTTTCCTTACAACTGTTTTAGCACGGATTTCATGCAGCCTCCAAAGAGTGGCGGTTTGTAGGTGCGCATTTTTTACCGGTACTGAGAAGACAATTCGAAATGCAAGCATCTACTAGCTATTGTGTTTACGGAACTTGACTGTTCGAAAATGAGTGGTTGTGCAGCTCATGCAAAACTTACTACCAGCCAATGCATTCCAAAATTTGATACACTGATCAAGCAAAAGAGTGACATGTCTGAAAAATTGTGATCCATAGAAACTTGTTAAGCTTCCATGTGAAGCTCGTCATGATACCAGACCAAAGCAGTAACCTTGTCAAAACCCGAAGTAAGAAATGAGATTAACGAGGGCAACACGTCAGCTGAAGAAAAGAGCGGTTTAGCGGCAAGAGTGCGCGGAGTACCAACCTAACTGATTCGAGAATTAGCATGGGAGTGATGATGCAGCCGTGGTTTATGTCCCAAATATGGGGAGGAAGCCAAACACATATTACATGATTAAGTTCACCCAAGCGATATATGGTGTGAAATCCATCCACGTCCAATAGTCAGAGCCACACAGAATCGCTGTTGGGATGACTTACTCTCAGACTGACAGTTAAGTCCCATAAATGAGTAGGAATAGTTTGATGCCTCTCAAAAGATGTGTTCCGCTTTCAACTACCTATGCTGTCGCTCACCTAAACCAAGACAGTACATATGGCGTAGAGATTAAAAGGCATAGCGAAACGTAAGCGATTGATCAAACAAGGCAATAGAGTCACTGCGCAGATCCCTGGCGCATAGCTGATCGCGAAGTTGACTTCCACTCTCAAAATCACATAGGGCAACCCAGAGGCCCTGGTATGAGTCGCACAATCGAGGTTACGTAGGATACCGGTATTCAAAAGAGGAAGGAAGCAGAATGTGGGCTTTGATGGAGGAATAGACGACTGTCATATTCGTGTGGCCATATGTCAGGATTTTTTGGATAAGCGAATGACCAGGTACTCCGTTGTTTCAAGCAACCAGGGGCAAAAGATAGTATCCGAATACGTCCCAATAGAACGAAACGGCCGTCTAGCGCTTTCCAGGATGTGTGGTGGCTGTCTGCCTGTGTCTAACTACGACGAATCTACACAAAACATACTAAATCCCCCTACCACTTACAAATAATCAGTACTCGCCTTAGCAGCTTACATGCCACCTCGATTGGTGGCGGCTTGCCAAGGAAGTCGTTGCTCTGGGGGCCAGTCCTGTCCTCTGCACATTCCTAACATGCAAGACAGTGGAGGATGAGCCGCGCAATATCACAGTTAGGTATCAGTCATGACGGTCCGCTGCCGTCGCCCATGGCTCAGTGACATAAGTCGCTGAATCGCAAGGGTAAAGTCGTGGGTTCGAATCCGACAGGATTCTGCGGGTGCGCGCTACTGATGAGTCCCAAAAGGACGGAACGGCCGTCTAGCGCTTTCCTGGATGTGTGGTGGCTGTCTGCCTGTGTGTAACTGCGACGAATCTATACAAGAGAAAAATATTTCCATGAGGTATGGATGAAAAAACTAGCACTCGAAAAAGTGACAAAAATGGCGAAAACGACCATTGGTATGACGCTTAGAATAAGTCAGCCTTTCTATTGACGGGCTCACCTATTTCGGTGATCCGTAGGACTTCTCTTCCATCGGAAACCACGTATAGTACTGAAAATATGCAGCGTTATCAGTTAGTGCAACAGCGTATCGCAAACACAACGGTCAGCTTTGGCAGTGGAGCTCATCGGAGTTATGCGTGTTCCTATAAGGAATTATTTCGTTACGGTAGCTGCGCGAAATTCTGTCAGAAGCTGCTCCGATACGCAGCTAGGCAGGCGAAATAGAGTGGGTGTCGAGCCATGTGAAGTGAGACAGCCTGCACTTAGAAAAGTACGTTTAGGGCTTTGAAATATATAAAATTACCGATGCCTGTCATAAAGATTTAGCCGATCTGTAGCGTAAAGAGCTTTTTAGCAACACAGAAGAGATGTGAACGTCTGGAAAATGGACTGACCTTGATAAATTCGCGATTCAGCAGGCATACACGAGAAATTAACGTGCCCTGGTCGTGGAATGGACCTGGGGAGCATGGTGAAGCGAAATCACACACAAGAGCGCTAAACGTGTGGTGTATAGTGAACTCTTCCCCGGGTGCTAGCTGAAAAAAGTGTGGATGGAAGAAAAAGATTGTGAGTTGCACGAGTGATATAATTGAGTCATATAATGCGGCCCGGTACCGAGCGCACACTTTGATGAAGAAACATGCAAAGGTTGCACTGCAACATTTCACAAAGCAAAACCAGACGTGTCTTAAACCCTGCAATTCTGCAATCAGGTGCCACGAATTGTGGTGAAATAGGCAAGACAAGTATGGGATAAAAGATTAAGGGGTAATGAACAAATCGCAAAAACGGCCATTAAAAGACCGAGAGAAAGCCGCGACAGGGCTGTTGAGTCACCAAACAGTTGAGCTATTTTTGATCGCTCCACATACTATTCGGCGGGAAAGAAGAAGAATGTGTGACAAATTCGAAGTAATGCTGATGTGTCGTTGGTTGCTGTGAGACGATCGCTGAGTAGGTAATCAGAGGAAGCACGGGTTTAATGGGTAGCATCTGTGCATGTGAGAGGGGATAGGGAGGCATTCGCTGATAAGTAGGAAACGGTAGACAAACAAAAAGTCTAACGAAGTGATTGCAGGCAAGATCGATGTAACTGGTAAGGTCGATCACAAAGCTGTCGAAGCAGTTGAACAATGATTTATCACTGGTAAAAAAGCGTGTGCTTGATAAGTCCCGTAGGATGGTTGGTGTAAAGATTAAAGTTAAAAGAATCAAAGAATAAGTAAATCGTCATTTGAAGCGTCTACCGATTTAACGTTTTGATTCGTTCTCCGAGCTGTAATTTAATGACAAAGGTTTCACAACTTTCCTCAGTGGCATCTTCAGTGCACTACTCCGTAGAGGAAAATTTCTACCGATTTAAATGCACTACTGCATAACGATAGTTTGAAATGGGAATAATAATAATAATAATAATAACAATGTGTCAGCTGTACGCCGTAACGGCGCTTCGCTGCCGCGCGACCACCACTAGTTGCGCGCGGGCTGAGTATACCGCGAGGACGCCCACTCCTACACGGATTCGAACCGGTGACCTTATGGTTGCAAAGCAAACGTGCAGACCACTCGGCCACCGGCCGACTTAAAATGGGAATGGGATATGCACACACAAAATAATATAAAGAGCAGTAAAAGTACAGTAAGCGCATGAGAAGTAAAAAAGAAAACGACAACGCTCATTCGTGTGTTGCCTCATTTGGCAGACGTGTTATGTTAATCCAGTTTAAATACATCCAGGCTACTCACAAGGACATTTCTGCAAGTACCCTCACCACCACGTTGCGGAGAGGGCCATAAGGCACAAGGCTTGCCTTGCATTATTTCGTCCTCCGAGTGAAACGGACCGAATCAAATGATGCAAGTTGGAAAGCGTGTCAGTAAGGCGCTTTCGAATAGCGTTAATATAAGGGCAAGGATGACGTGAGTCGGTAAGGCGTTCCACGCAAGGGACACACGGAGGGAAAAAACGCTTCGCTGACAGTAAAGTCGACAGTTGTGCGTAGCCAGTTTGAACTGATGGCCTCAGGTCGGTATGTTGGCTCAGCTGCAAAAGACTGCGGCACGGGTGAATTAGGTTCGTCAGTATTAACTAAGCCATGATGAGGTATCCACGCTGACGTGGATATTCACCACAGTGCAATCTCAGGGACTGCAGTCCGCGATGGTAGGAGATAAAACAGTCCTCTAACGAGTTTGGTCGCTCTACGTCGTACAGCTTCGTGTATTGACGTCGCGCTTGCGCCGGGGAAGCCAGGCCCGCATCGCATATTCCACGTGGGGTATCACGTAGGCGTTAAGCATTTGCGGAAAGATTGATGGCTCGAAATTTCCGAAAGCTTTCCATAAGAGTCCAAGATGTTGACTGGCTCTTTTTGATACCTTTTCAGCCTGTCTCGAGCAACCAAGATCGTACTGCACGATTACCCGGAGGTCGTTTTCTTGGGAAGCACGTTGTAACTGCTGGTACACAAGTCGATATTCATAGATAAGCTAATGGTGTATGCTTATGACTTTGCACTTGGTCACGTTGAACTGGAGCCGGTTGTCGGATGACCACGCATAAGCCCTGTCGAGATAGCTCTGCAATGCCATGTGATCATCCGTTGTCTTGATGTTATGCCAAATTATGACATCATCTGCGAATAGTAAGAAATTCGACTGCAGTACACGATGAAGATAGTTACTGAATACTAGGAATAAACATGGCCCCAGTACCGATCCCTGGGGCACGCCACACTGGACGACAATTGGGTCAGAAATGAAGCTGCGAACCCTCACATTCAGCTGACGTTAAATGCGGAAGTTGCCGATCCAAACGAGCACAGATTACCGGTTCCATAGCTTGAGCAGGAGAATGCGGCGGTCCAAACGATCGAACGCTTTCGAGAAGTCCAGGTAGACGAGATCGACTCCCACTCTGAAATCGGCTGACTCTGTCCAGATTGCTCGGGCTAGAAGCAAGTTTGTAGCGCAAGACCGATTTGGACGGAATCCGTGCTGCTGTAACACTAGGATGTTATTGCTCTCAATGGATCTCATGAGCGCACCTGCGATTATACCTTCCATTATTTTGGATACAACTTAGAGATCAGTGATTGAACGGTAGTTCGAGGGCTCCACACGATTAGCACTTTTGGAAATAGGAGTAACTAGGCAATGTTTCCACATTGCGGGAACCTGCATTTCGTGGAAACAACGTCGAAAGAACCGAGCTAATGGTTCGGCAAGGTACCTGGCCGCACTTTTCATTGCCTTCAGTCCACGCCAGGTGAGCTGTGCACGTGCAATGACAACAGCGTTTATATCACATTGGATGCTGTGAACGTTACGTGGTTTAACGCTAGTGGCGTTGGGAGCTATGTTAAAAGCGGATGAAATGATGATTCACTCCGGAAAGAATGGATGAAATGCCGGCGAAGCACGCTGACTGCATCTTGTGTAGTTTGCGCCAGACCATCTGTTGCACGTAAAACCTCGATCCCGCGCTGCACTCTGCGGAGCTTGTTGATGTGTCTATACAGCAACTTGGGGTGGGTATTGAATTTCGACGCTAGGTTCTGTTGGTGCTAGAATTTGTCTTCGCGGACAAACTGGACGCAGTGGTTTCGTTGCGTTGTGTAAGCATCCCAGGTAGGTTACTTGGACAGACTTTGTAAGTGCGCCAGGCTGAATCGCTTAAAACCACGCGTTTTCTAGTACGGCTCCTCATGAACGAGTTCACTTGCTTCGGGCAAAAGACCTTGCTTTCTTACCTGTTGGTCGTTTTTCCGAGCGTAATAAATGGATCGCATACGTTTCACCACCATGCTAGGTGGCATCTTCAGTGATAGGCAGTGTATAATCCTGCTTATTGAATCGTCAGTCCGTCATCCACGGGCAGGTGACTTTTGAAGGTGGCGATTTCAATTTGCGCCACGTGATATCTGCCCATTTGCTTCCGCGTCTGAATCATCTTTCGATTTGCCGGAGATCTTTCTTTCTGAGCTGATGGTACACGGGGTCGATGTCAATGCGCATGTTGATCGAATTAGTAGAAAAGTACCATGCTTCTAGGAATTCTCTTTCTTTCGGTGTTGTTGTTTGAGCTAAAATCACGATTTTGCTCCAATTAAAGCTATGTCCCTCCTCATCCACATGCGCCAAGACAAGAGACGAATTTGGGTGACAAACACCGTCCAAGCGATATCGGACGGCTGCTCGGCCAGGAAGGACCAGTCAGTTTCTTGAACGCAGTTGGACAGCATATCGTAATGTGTAACGACATAGTTTTCCACGTTGTTCTCACTTATATACTCCGCGGAACAGATGTAACGAAATAGCAACATCGCGTGATCGGTACGACCAAGTGGTGCATCTATGGTCACGGTGTAAACCATTAGTTCCTCGTTGGTGAGCACAAGGTCAATAACAGAGGGCGTGTCACTCGTTCCAAATCGCGTGGGAGTGGTGACATGGTTGTCGAGAGGTACATCGGCGATCACCTATTGCGAATCCGCCTTGAGTTGTTCGCTGTGCGATGCTGGAACTTGGATTGCGTGCAGATGGAAGTCCCCCACCAGAAAGACGCGACTGTATGGTAGTGCCACGACTCGTTTCATCGCAAAGCCTAGGCAATTATCCATTCCCAAAGTGGACATTGGGGGCGGTAAACTATTGCTAGTAAACACACATCACCACGTCTTAGGTGCATACGACACCACAGAGAATCGACGACTTGCGTTTCAGGATTGTCAGTGATAGCAACATGCAGGTCGGATCGATCATACAGGTGCACTCCGTCTCCTCAGCTAGGTCGATCGTCTCGTCGCAGGTAGAGCAATCTCAGCATCGGTGGTTTCCGTCTTCAGCCATGTTTCGGTGACGATAATTGGTCCCAAGAACCTGACGAATACGAAGATTGGCTAGCTTGCTGAGAAGACCTTGTGCACTGGTATACAAGCAGGTGAGGACATCAGTGCTTAGAAGCGTGTTTGTGAATGCTGGTTTCCGGTGAGGGTCTATGCCGACCCTTTCGGGGTCGGCTGCCGGTCGTATTTTTGTAGGACCGATGACGCAGGCCATAGGGGCAGTTCAGGTTGTTGTTCAGAGCTCTCAGCGCCAAAATGAGGGCGATCGACCTGTGCTCCTTCAGCTGCCGGTGTGTTTCAGCACTGTCTCGGTTCTGAGTTACACGGTGACAGAATTGTATTGGTCTACCTGTGGCCCAGTGCTTATCGCCTTTATACTATTTCGGATGGCAGCATTGTATGCATTTTTGTGTCACATTTTGATTACATGCTCTGCCATAAGTTCGGAATGCAATGATACTTTCATAACTCGGGGACCACACCCTTGATAGTTAAGGTGATGGCGGTAATCTTGATGTCAAAGTAGCGATAGCGTTTTCGAGTGAGAGTACTTCACGAATAAAACACCATTCATCCCAGTTATGCGCTTTGACCTCCAGCTCACTTAGTGACTGGAGCTCGGGGACACCATAAACAAGGATAGATGCTGCGTCTTGTTGTTTAGTGAATTCATTCGGATTTCCTTTGGGTTTCTGGTGTTCTTTCCAAGGAATATCTGGAAAATTTCGAACAGTGCATGTAGTGATACGGAGGCGAGTGGCTGACAAGAGAACTGCCTCTGCATCACTACCTGACTGAAGTGTTAGCTGGAGTAACCGAGGTTCACCGAAATATACGGAGTTTGAGTGACGGACGAGGCGCATCATAGTGACTGGTTTAGCTTGAACCCCTATGAGTTGACACAGTCAGTCCCACTGTTATTTGTCGTCTAGTATCTTATCTTTTATGGAGTTCGCCTCGGATTCAGTAACACTAGAGCATATAACAGTCAGAGAATTATGGTAACGTTACATGTTCTCCCGTTGGAAGGACCAGTCGCGGCTTTCTTCGGTTGGACAACAGATGGAGTCTTGAGTCGCGTGGTGGTATTGGTAGTATTAACTCGTTTTGCAACCTACTGGGTTACGATGGGAGATAGCTAGGTCATATAGGCAGCAACAACGGATGCGTATGTTGTAAGCACCTTAACACTGCTCGATGTGGCGGGTAATACTGTTGAGGAATGTGTGGCGAATGCATCTTTATGAGTAGCCGCTAGTGTCGAGGTGGTTAACTCTGGATCGTTACTCTTATTTTCGGCCCGCCTACAACGTCCTGAATTGGAGCTTGATGTTAAGCATCGAATTCGAGGCACTGATTTGTCTGATTTCTGTGGGACGGCTTTCACAGCTACTGGTTGCTCTACAAGCTTTTACAGCTTATCACATTTCTATGCCAACACAGTTATACATATGACGAGTGGAATAGACGTATACTCAGTGTAGAACCAGAGGGAATCAATTGTACTATTAAGCAGCTTTATCTGGCTGAGACCAAGTTTTGGGGGCTAAGAAAAAAGCATGAAATGGTCGTGGATAAAATTGTTGCATAAGTCTATGTGAGGGGCTATTAAAAGGAGCAGGTAAAAAACCCGACTTCTACCTTAAGATAAACAGTGTATTGTCCTGTATAAATTCGGAGTGCATTTTGGTTGCGGACAGGAGAGGCTTGGTGCGCGCCGAATGTTTGTTTCCAACTTAATCATTAAAACAAATACAGATCTCCGCTTCCGCTAATAATTATAAATACAGTAAAAACGAGAAAAAAAGGGACAAGAAATAACCACCTGATTGCGAGACGAGTCGAAGAAATTCAGCCTAAGACGTATGAAACGAAACGAAGCTAAATATAACTACCGGGTATCGCAGCCTAATAACGTCCCACCGGTGGCGTGATATCGGCCGTCTAAACTGCTATATTTAATGAACTCGCCTAGTGTCAAAGGCACGCCTAAAATTGCACAACTCAATTAGGTGCTGAAGAAGTAATATTGTTTGTTTACATCAAACAACATAAAAAACCGTTCATAGCAATGCTGATAGAGCTGTCAGCTGATATACTCGATGAATACTGTTGGGAAAAAATTATACGTAACCCAAAAATGAAGTGCAGTTCTTAGTTGACTTAGTGGATGTGACATAGTTGGGGTAAAAAAAAGATATCGCTCGTGACTACTCAATTGGCTCTCCTCTGTCGAGATTAGATGAAAATAGAGACCGGATAGCTGTGCCGATATATGCAGTGAAGATGATCGTGACTTCGTTGGTAAGTGACTTCATGTTAATGAAGAAACAGTTCGCTTTACGAAGCTCCACAGAACATTTCGTCGGGGAAGTGATATGTTAGTTGCACAAATCAGAAAGGAAGAGAGAATGTTAAAGAAAGTATAACATAGCAGGCCAGTGATTGCGATACCCGGTAATGAAGGGAGGTCATCCCGTCAAACCAGATGTAGATCGTATAGGATTTAGTTGCAGTAAGGAGAAAAACGTTGGGGACCAAGCGTGATATTAGACTGCCACAATGACTAACCGAGCAAAATATAGAGTTGACAGCATAAGGGACATAAGTGGAATATTCTTAAAAATGGCCATACAGAAAAAGTTCGATGTTACTTTTGTGAATTTAACGAGGCAACCATCATAGCCACGCCAACGAGGCTAAAGCTGCTATTGAAGGGTGATGTCAGCTTAACCTTAGTCACTAATTAGTCCGTCATTAGCCGAAAACGTGAAAAGCAGCTACAATGTAACTCACTGCGGGAAGGTACACTGCCTGTTTCTGGGGCACAGTGACGGTGGTGGTCGAAGAGAGAAAGGTCAGTTTCGCACCAGATGGCAACGGCAACGGTCCAGAATTGACAATCTGCACATTCGAAATCTGGAGCGATTCATTTGGCCTGTGAAAACCAGTGCAATCCTCTCCCGTCACCTGCAAAGGGGATTACTGAAGGAGTGGAGATAGCCACAAGTAATTCTCTGTACTTCAGTGGAATGTAAGAAGCTTAAAGCCTTATAGCACTAGTGCGTAGTAGGGATTTGGGTGCAATTTAGATGTAGTTCATCGCAATCAACTCTCAGTCAAGAAAGTTCCCAAGGGTCTGAGAAAACACTAGACGGCTGTCTCGACCTCTTGGGTTACGTCCTTGGTGCGTGTTCCTCGGACCCCTGTCGGGTAACGACTTCATGACCCCCGGATGTCAGCAGATTGTGCCACTAAGCTAGGGTAAAGACGACACAGCTGGATGACTGAGTTGACCACGATATAGCGCAGCTTATTCTCCACTGGCTTACTAGTTACCAACTGTGTAGAGAGCAGTGGTTGGCCACAGAGCAACGACTTTCCGCATAGCGACTGTGTACGACACAGTATTTAGAAGCTATGTGGACGAATGTTTGATTATCAATGAATTTCAGTGAGCTGGTATGAGTAGAATGGAACAGGAGACTAATACATCGAGAAAGACAATGGATCCACTGTAAACGGGTGATTACAGAGGGCTAGTGGGGCGGATCTTACAGACAGGTATGCGGCAAGCAATTTCAAACAGTTAGTTGATAGCAAGCAACTAGAGCGGAAGCCATTCCAGTGCTGCGTCCACATCACGACTGGCTTTACAAAAATGTTAGTTCATACGGAATGCAAGTGCAGTAGTTCCTATCCTTTCTGGAAGCATAGTGAAACATAGTGACTAAAACCGAGTGTAAGGTGAGAACCGTAAATTTTGCCTTGACAGAAAGAATGGCAAGACCGCTTGGAGAAGTGTATTCCGGTTACGTAACTAAAATGCCACGCACTTGTGATACGTTGCTGCACAACGTAACGTACAATGGACGGTGTAACCACATAAAGGATGGGACGGGTTTACATACAATGTCATCACGTTCAGTTCGATTCGGTTTGGGTCAGTTTAATTTAACCAAGTTAAAAAGCGAAGATCTGGGCAAAGGAAGGCAGTGGATTCGATTGTCACGATTTGTGTGGTCAGGATTACGACCAGTGACAATGAGGAGAAATCTGAGGCAGAACGCAGACAGAATACAAAAAACGGATCTGTGTAGAAACTCAAGGCAATGAGTTGGATGACTGATTGCACACGAGGTGTGTTAAAAAAGGGACCGAACATGTGATATAACATCTTTATTGCTCATTGTAGAAATTTTTAAGCATAGTCCCCCATCCAAAATAGTCCCCTCTACTGGCAATACATGGTTCCCGACGGTGTTTCCATTTTTGGAAAGTGGCTCACACATTACTCACCGTATGTTTGGCTGAACAACTGTAAGGTCCCAGTAAAGGTTCCGCAAAATTTGTAACAAAATTCTAAACACACACAGGTTGTTCATCAAACTTTGGCATTGTCACTTTGACATTAATTCGACAAGCAGCTTGTGCATGCACTCATTTCTGTGACTGTAGCTCGCTACTTATCAGTCAGAGGGAACTGCGGCACATTGCAGTCTGTTGCTTAAATGTCTCCAGGTGCGCTCAATAACCGCAGCGCGTCACCTCTGCCGTATGGCGCTTAGTACAAAAATTTGGTTTCTTTTTGAACAAGACAGTAGATTGGCATCAAATACAAGTGATTCCCAGAAAAATATCTAGGATAAGATAAATGAGTCAAGGATGGTCTTTACTAGGTCAAGGAAACTCCGCACTTTAGTTGCGGTCACAGTGAGTCAAGGATGCCTTTGGAACCAACCCAATACACGTAAAATCTAGGAATTCAGTTCAATGATTCAGGATTTTTTAATCCTTTACTGATCCAATGTGTTCTAGCTTCGTAGACTATTTTAACCGCAGTTAATCTCAAAACTCATAAACCAGGGAAAATGAGATGCAGAAATCTGCTCAGCTGCACACACTCTGCATTAAGTAAAGTAAACCATAAAAATGGGTCATTCCAAGAGCGATCAACTTAAGTCAGGGAAAGCCCTCGCAAAGTACAACGGATAATGCTTATGTCCGAGAGGAAACCCATAATGTCGTATTAACTCTTAAAGACTCATAGCCGCAGTTGATGCCATTTCTCAAATGCAACCAACTGCAACTGCAGGTCAAAATTAGCCATGTACTAAGTATTGGACAGAACGTGACTGAAGTTCCCATCTCTCCAAGTGTGTACAACGTTGAACTCCGTTCTAAGTTTAATTACTTGGAATCCCAAAATTATCGTTAAGGAAAAGGCTACTTTACCTTACACTAGCCCAGCTGCATTGCATAATATGATTCGTGTTAACTGCCTGGTAATGTGCACAGTTGCCGTCCTAGTCTAACAGCACAGAGAACACACTAACAGGCTCACCTGTTGATCGTTCTTCCGAGCTTGGTTAAGAGATCGCATACGTTTCACCACCATGCGATGTGGTATCTTCAGTGCAGTAGCTCGGAAAAACGATCAACAGGTGAGCAACCAAGCAGGGCTACCAGCGTTCCACATTATTTCGAACACTAACAGGCGTTTTAGTTCACCGAGGTGTACGTTTTTTTGTACTTTGCCATTATCATCCTGACATATTGGACATCAGGCTTTTCCCCGTAAAAGACCCGTGTTTCACACTGGTTCGTACCGCCATCGGGTAAGAAGCAGCACAGTGCAACAAACTGTGTCAGGCCGGTACTAGGCATATTGGACAGACACGTGGTGGCAAATTAGGTCATTACAATGACAGGTTGGTGGTCGTCCCGGAAGTAAGAAAGTTGCGAGTACCAATCTATTGTCAGGTCAAGATAATGAGTGACGCTGACAACCAAACGGAAAAATGAACCAACCTCTAATGGAGAGAATTTGAGGTTCCTCGCTATAAACACTGGAACTTCACGAGCAGTTTCGTCCTTATTTGGACTCCACACGCAGTGATAGCCGGAAGTGGGATTGAAACAGGGGACGTAGAGGTTGATGGCAGGAGCCTATATCACTATACCAATGAGATCCTGGTTCCGGCTATCGCCAACTGATGAGTGCAGACGAAGACGGAACCGGGGGTAAGGTAACCGTGTTGCGTGGAGCAACACTGGAACCTCTACACTTCGGATACGGGGCCGGTATGCCATGCAAAGGCTCTGCTGTCACGCAACTACCACTAGTTGCGCATGGGTTAGGGATACTGCGGGCGTCCCTCGGTCCCATACGCGGGATCGAGGCTACGACATCCGGCCTACAAGGCAGATGCATTGTTCTTTCAGCTACCAGCTTGCAAATGAAAATGTGGTCTCAATAGATTGCGTATCGTAAGCCCACAATAAGCGTGTACTCTAAACCCCTAACCATGAATTTACGTAACCGATGTGACAAGCTTTGTTCAATGATCTCAATATTTCAATGATTAAGGAGTCAGTAGATGGAAATTGGGTATTGCCCACCGGAAAATACTGCACAACCACGACGCGTTTCGATGTAATTTTTCATCTCATCAGGTGGAGACAGCAGGATTTGAACCCAGGACCATTGGAATAGCAGCCAACGCTACTACCCCTTTGGCTACCGGGTCACGATGGGCAACACATTTTGTCACAACGGTAGATGACTAATTGGAGGGTCAAGTTTGGATTACACGTTGTGTGATTGGATTGCGACACGCAACCTCAATATAATGGACTGTGATTCACATTGAAATGAACCTTAGTCACTGCGATCGCTGGGACCGTTATGGATTCATCTCAGGCAAGAGGGATTGAGCGAAGCATAGCATAGGCAATTCAAAGCAAAACTGGAACTTTGATTCCTCATCCAAAGTAAATTGCCTATTTAGGAACATAGTAGCTTTATTCCTGTTGTCTATACAGCTTACCCGTCCACACACACCGTGTTAGGTGCGTGCATCATAGACACACACCCAAACAAGTAGTCGACCTCCATCGTTTATGCCCAGGTGCACCAGCACTGGGTAGACATTGTTAAAAGGCATTGAGGGAGGTTAATCACAGCCAGTTTCCAAATCAGATAGTCGTCCACATGCCCGGAAAAGCGTTAGACTGCAGTTTAAGCCCGTTGGGCATTGTCAGTAGTGCGCATCCATCGGATCCATCAGGATTCGAACCCATGACCACCAGCGGCTTGAGCCGCCAGTCAGCAGCTTATGTCAGTAGGTCACGGGAGACAGGTTCGCACCGTCATGATTTACAAGCTAACTGCGATAAAGTGCATATTATCCTCCACTGCCATGCAAGTCACGAACGTTGCAGAGGACAGGGTTGCACCGAAAGACACGACGTCCACTTACAGTAGCTATGCACGACATAGCGTCAAGAAACTGTCAGGCCGAATTAATTTTGATGTGCTCATGAGTAGGGGATTTTGTTCTAATTAAGGGAGGTTCATCGCAGCCAGTTTCAAAATCAGATAATCATCCACATGCCCGGAAAAGCACTAGACTGCAGTTTCAGCCTGTTGGATGCGCACTATTGAATACTTGAAATTTTCACTTCGCAATAATGGCATATCCGTGACCCGACGAGGTTAAATATTTCACCATTGACAGAGAGCCGATTAGCGAACTGCTGTACTATAACGTTTCCGCACGTCTTCCTGGGTCTGACCTTTTCTTATTACGGTTTCAAAGCTATATGTTAGTGGTCTACTGCTTTCGAGTTGAATCAAAGAACAATGGTGATTGGAATTAACGCTCATTTCCTCTGCCAAGACCGTGCGTATAGAAGAGAGGTTCACAAGCCCAAAGTTTTCCCATCCCGTGTCGTGCGATATACTTAGTCTAGGTTTCGCATCGCCGCTACAGGCAAGGTTCAATTCTCAAGGACACCGCCTATAAGGACCTAGGTCCAGCCTTAGCAAAACAATATCCCACCGATGCCGGTGAGGATATATGGACGATGTGTTCTTTCACTAAATGTAATGAAGTAAAGGTGGAGTGGGCATTCTTAAGTATTGGTCTGCCAGCTGTCACAACCGGTACGAAACCCAGATACGTGAACAAACAGTACATTGCACTATGCTTCAAATCGTCCCAGTTAAAATTAGATTAAATGCCAAGTGAATTACTTGAAAATCCATCACGGTCACTTCGTAGCGTTGATTGTATACGTTGAAAGGGAGTTGTGGACTCGTAGTTGAGGATGGTTCGTCAGGTACAAGCAGATCGGTCTGGACGCTAGTAGATGTGCGATTTTGAGCAGTCGAGAGTTCCGCATCTGAAGCCATTTTACTCTGCATGGGAAAGAGGAGGAGGAGGTGAAAACATGAGACACAACATGTGCCGAATGAAACGTCCACATTCAAGCGCAGAAACCCAGTATGCGCTCGAATCAAAGATAGAATATGAGAATATAGCACGTTCTCTGCAATCAACCGGGAAGCAGTAGGGCCATGCATGAAACACGTGGAAGAAGACGTCAGTGATAAAGATGGAGCACTACAATGCTGTCAGTCGGGGTTCCTCACGCTTAGATCTCATAAACAAAGAAGAAGGAACACACACACCACTTGGTGTCAAGCGGCTTGAATTGCAGTTTCTCGCCGGGCGATTTCCTACCCAGCACGAATAGGCACACACACATATTATATAAATAAATCTACATAACTGCATATATATATATATATATATATATATATATATTTATAACAGCAGTGGTTCAACTTCAAGATACATGAGAAGGGGTAGGTTATGACGACTGACCGGTTTTACTGAGCACTAAATGTGGATGTGTTTCCTTATACCAATGTTTGTCGTACACACCAACACGGAGCAAGTTCCCCTACACTGCAGAACACGTGATTGTTTGTGTGTAATGCTTAAGCCTAAAAGCATGAACAAAAACCACTAGGTTGGCAAAAGTATCCTACTTGTCAGGAAATATACCAGTTCATTCGTACATTTATTTCTCTCAGTTGTCCCAACTCGAAGTTGTACGGCATGTTTACAACTATTGTTAAATGATGGTCTAACCATTTTGTATTCGGTTTTGTTAGAGGCTTTAATAATATAGTAGAACCGTACGTAACATCAAAAGGACTGGAAGCAATGATTGACTTGGAATTTGTTAATAAAATGAAACCGCTTCCTGCTATAATCAGACACCGTTAATCTGAACCCTATTGTCAACAGCTACAGATCAGTGAGAAGGCTGGTTCAGTAGGGACCGACGCTATTCTAAAATAAATGTCCGCTTCCGCTGGCTCTAGTTAACTTTACGAAACCGATGCACCCAGTTAATGTGATTAAATGACATTAGCTGTGCTCCAATCAGTAATAATTTTTGATTGGAAACCAATTTCATCGGTAGGAGACAGATTCTGTCACATGTACGCTAAGCGGTCACACAAGTTGGAAGAAAAGCGTTCCCAAGGGAAACATGCACGGCAGTAAAGTTTCGTCCGGCTTAGCACGAAGAAGAAATGCCTCAAATTAAAGATTTCTGCGTTTGTAAGGACAGTGCGAAATAGTAATAACCGAAAGATATGAAAAATGATAGACTGAGTACGCTGAGTCCCCAATCATGTTAAGAGTTTTGATATGAAGGTGGAAAATAAAACCTGAACTTCTGGTTCACCAAAGTTATTCCAATCTTCAACCACTCTCAGTGACCGGGCGACTCACCGCCTGTTATCTACGCAACCTTGCATGGTAAATTAGTTAAATTACACTATTGGGCAAGGTCCGGCTAGATTATTTTGAATGGCGCTTTCATGCCTTGCCAAGTTGTAAACGCGATGTATAAAACAACGCATGGTTATGCGTCAGAGTACTAGTACTCAGTGGTTACCTAACATCGAGTTGCATACTTCAAGTCTGACTAGTGGTCACCACCCAGCAGAACATCGAACACACACGTGAGCTGGAAAGACGCAGGGAAAAAGTAATCACGATGGTTTTGACTACAAAGTTTAAGCAAAACGGGGATGTACGGTAACCACGAAACACAACTTATAGTGGTGAAGACAGGAGATAGTTTCCTGTTCGTCCTTTCACAGTCTTCAGACTTATGGCAAATATAAGGATAAAAGAAATTTCTGAATCGCATTGTGGCAAACGAGCGCAAGCAGCAGAAGCAAGAAAGACATCACATAAAGGAAAACTGTTGTGATAAGTTCCATGCAGAATCGTGAGGTTAATGTGCCCATTTGGAAGGTGGAACCTAAGCAAGCTGTCGAAGAACTCCGAATGCCCTATCCTGAGATACGTTTGTCCCACCGTGATTGCTACTACCTATTACCAAACAGTTTTTGTCACAAAACTAACTTTGTGTGCTATGGCTCTCAATCCAGAATCAGCGATCCGATGACAACTCAATGCTATGTTCATTTTCACTTTGAGAATTTATCTTCTCACTTTCAAACGACCACACATTGACTTAATTTCGACACCAGGGCGAGTTGATTCCCGCTTCACATAGTACCGCCTGATGGGTTATCGGTGCTCCGGAGTGCTTCAATCTCTATCCCCTTACGCCATTCGGACACTATTGCACTGAGGCGCAGATCATGTTACCTCGCAGGGTCAATTACCTCATAAAATTGCAAGGTTGAAGTCAGTGGAACCACCTCATACGTGGAATATCATTGTTTGTGTTCCCCCTTTCTTTTCATACAACTGAATACCCATAATGTCAGGCCATCACCGTGCGTAGCACGCAGACATCAACGTCCACGTATTTGTACAGTCCCTTGTGATTGGCCAGTTACCATAATTCAATGTCCGCGATGAGCCGCGACGTAGTGACATGGAGCTACAATGTGACTTGGAGCCATATTTGTTGGCTTAGTTCAGTGAATTGAAAGTTACTGAATCTGACTTGTGCTGAAAGCACGTATTAATGGAGTATGGTACATTTTGTGTTCTAGTTGTTTGTAAACAGTAAGTCATCCAGTTTCGGCCTTGTTGTTTTGATTCCAGTGGAAACGCGTCCGCTCAAGGCTTCCAGGCTGTTTGTCGCTCGTAAGAATTCCTATTAAACATCTGCTGGCGGTCACACAGAAGCTCAATAAATCTGCACGACGAAGGAAACAAGGTTTTTAAAAAAACTGAAGCGAATTCAAGTGAACGCTCGAACAAAGAATGAGAAATTGGAGCCTTATGTATGGTAGATGTCTACAGGCTGCCAGGTTTTATGGCCAACAACAGAATGAGCAGTACGCAAACCATGCAGTCTAGTAATCACCAACCTCGTGTTGTGTACTCGTGGTCGGATCTGATTGAGGGGAATTCAGGTGATTAGTCGACAGAGGGATACGATATTCAATTCGTCCGGGAAGACCAGCGTGGCCTTTTGCGCCGTCTAAACCAGCTGGCCCAGAAGTTCCACGCTTGCCCCAACATCCAAGCACAACCTTGGATGCATCCCACGATGTTTTCTTTTTGTCATGGGAATACAGGTACAAATCCTCCCTCTCTTTGTCATCAAGGTACACCGAGTGAATGATGTCATCTTCCGCGATGGCTGTAGGATACGTGGACGGACAATAATCCGTGAACTCATCTGAGTACGTGTGAGTACCGTTGGAGTACCGGTGATCTTGTTCGATGCTGTGATAGATGTACATAGAGCTGGGGAGCGAGTAGGTAATTTTGCCTGACGAAGTATACGAACCCGACGAACGCATTGCGGAGCATCGTTGACATCTGCGTACACATAGAAGTTAGGAATTAGCAATCACAGGCAACGCATAAACTAGAGTATCGCTAGACGGAAATTCACTCTGCATAGGTGGGCAAATCCCGTTCTGGATTCAAATGATGAAAACAGATTAGATTGATATGTTTATTCACTCCCGAAAAAGAGAAGCACTACAAGCCGTGTGAAAATTGCTAACTACTGCCCAATACGCTCAAAACGTAGTTAAAAAGATGAAACAACTTCATACTTACAGACAGTCATAATAGAAAGGAAACCAATGTGCATTACAAACAAAAGGCAATAAAATAGCCATTAAAACAAGATAGTATATCAAAACAGATTGGATCGTGTACGTTACGTCGAAATCAACTGCAGACAACGGCTTTTTGCATTTCAAGCTGGTGAATCTGCAATACAGTGTTCAGTTACGGTAGAGGGCGAAATGTTGTGTTTCACACGGTCCATTCCCGGGACCACAATTAGTCGTTGTGTCTGTCAAGGTGCTTGTGGGCGTCAGCACCTCGAACATAGTTTTTCGACTAGGTCAAAATATGACGATCACGGATTCGTTCAACGCGATCTGTAGTGTGATCATGGTTAAAGAGGAACCCACTCCAGTTTAATGAGGATAAATGTACGGTGGTTCGAAGAGAAAATCACCGGAGAATGTACATAAACTTGGTGACTGTATCTCGAAGAAAGCCTCGTAGGATCAGGATACTAATTCATGACAATCTTCGTTGTTCGAAATAGTTCGGAAAAGTATCGAGACTGGGTAACCAATATGCAGCTTTTTACCCAGAGCCTGTGGTCGATTTGACCTCTCAATATTTCCACAAATGCTTAAAAGGCTACGTGTGATTCTATGTGGAACATAACATCCACGCGTGATATCCCTGGAAGAAACACGATTTCACTGCATTCGAAAATCCGGAACCAAAGGAAACTAAGTATGCTAAATGTCGTTTCTCAGTCTCGTTATCGAGCTAGAATAAAATTTCTCGGGGAATGTAAAGCGCTCACTGGGCGCCTTCGGGAAAACCTCATGACGGGTTAGCAAATCAAGTTAACCGCCCGCTTCAGAAACTTATTCATAAGACCAACCTAAGAGGCCATCGTTTGAAATTGGCCACGCCAAACGTTGACTACGTCAAAATTTTATCTGCCCTCGAGTGTGTTAGTCATAGAGTTCTCACATTGCGAATGATGAGTATGCACCGAATAAACAATACTAACAGAACGAACTAACGACTCACTGTACAAGTAAAATTTCTCCACATAAGTTCGTCTGTCAGGAGCTCCCTACCGAAAGCAGACCTGTCTTCACAACATTAAGCAGGTGGATTTAAAATGACTATCATGAAAACCTCTCGGTGGGATTACCAGCATGCACTGAAATTTAGTGACCAGCATTTCACTGTCTCTAAAACTTGCACCTCGACCATCCTATGAGACGTGGGCTTCTTTTACTCGTTATACACCATTGTTCCATAATTCTACCGAGGCATAAGACACGATTCAGGATTTGATAGACTGAAAACTCGTCTAGCCTAAGTGCGTAGCGATAGTCCGAGCTGCGGAATCATCCAGTATGTCCCGCATGGCAATCATGAGCAGCACGAGGGGGCTGAACACAGGAGAGGAAACATATGGATCGGAAATCGAAATTTCGAAAAGGAATGTGCAAGAGTACCAAATGGAAACGTCGACTTCGAAACGCGACAAACGAGGTGCTTGACCGATATTGACGTTGCGACTGCGCTGCATCCTAGAGAGTCATGACTCATTGAAATGACTCACAAGGGATCCTCGTCACTGAAACGTGGTGTTCCTCTGATACACTTGACTCTACGCTGATGATTGCAAACTACCACTCGTTTCGTAAAGGTCGATGCACCAGAAAACGTGGAAGGTGTAACTTATACGTACACAATATATTTACAGCTGAACGTATAGACCATTCACAAGTGGAAATTGTCCCTAAATCCATTTGACTGTCAGTTACAGATGCCTCCTCTGACTAACTGCTCTGCTGAATCTACAACTCACCAAATGCGTCTAACGTGAGTATTGCCATGAGCATTTTGTATTTGAGTTTGCATGAGGGTGACCACACAGACAGAAAATGATTGCCGGTGATTTAAACCTGCAGAAAATACACTGGTTACCCACTCATGGGCATCGCTGCACACCACTTTTCTTTCTCCCATCTGAGAGGGAAGCTGGACACAATGCGTTACCAGTGCAACCGGGTCCGCCAATTATCGGACCTAATATTCACATTGAGGATACACAACCCACGAACCAAGATCTTACACACTTCCTGGCGGCGACGATAAAATGATTCAACTTAGTTTCCACATTAAAATGATCACTAGACTTGCCTCTACACCGCGACCTGCAACCCATAAGATAAACTGGGAGTACTTTCAGTAGTTAAACCGTTTCTCTGACTGGAATGTATTCCTCCTCTCTACCAGCGTATATACTGCAGGGGAGCAGTTTTATACCCAAACACATCACGTTATAGCCGTATTTTTGTTCGTCGCAATCAGCCGAAAAGTCAAGTCCCATGTAGCTAACAATTCGTGATGGTCGGATACCGTCCTCCATGGCGCAGTTGCATAAGCTGCGGGCTAGTTGGCAAGAGCCACTAGTAGTGATGGGTTTGATCCTCCGCAGAGGACCGAAGGATGCGCACCACTGATAAGCCCAAATAGGGCGAAACGGCCGTCTGGTGTTTTTCCGGATAGCTAGTTGACTTATCTGAATTGTCAGCTGACTGCGACGAACAAAAATACTCATCAAAATCCTTCCACTCATAAGTTATAGCCGTCTTTGCTTCATAATCTGATCGTATTCCCCATGTCTCCAAAAATGCCATCAAACACCCAATCAGACAGAAAATCAGAACAGTATTTGCAAGATATCGAAACACCCATTAGCTTCCACTTACAAACGCACGAATTTACCACCAGAGTCAAACATACGTAGTTAACAAGAAGAAAAATGAAGAACACATGGATTTACGAACAAGCTGCAAGGTAAAGGAGTTTGTCAAAATACCGCATCGTAGAAACAGTGATCGCTCTCCTCTGATTACTGGAATTGTTGACGGCTAGGGCAACTCACTTCATGACCCTGCTGGAATCGGTGAAGCACTCAGCGACTTCTTTGCCACTCCACTGAGTCTAGAAGATGACACGTAGCTGGATACACAGAGGTTACAGCAAGAAACCACTTAAGCAAATTCGATATTCCGCTCAACAGTATGCAACAAGCTGTCAAAACAATCAGGTCATCTTCCAAGCTGAGATCTAATGGCGTTCCACAAACCACCATTGGTCCTGATGAGCATGGTAACCCAATCACTGGGATCTCGTCAGTTTCCATATAATTGGGAAACGTGATTTATCATGCGTAGATAAAAAGGATTGATAACTACCGACCAATCCATCACATACCAATAATTCATCGGATACCTGAAAAATTGGTCAAAAGGAACTGGTAAAATTTGTTGATTCACTGGGCCTGCATAGTTTTCTTGACAAGCGATGGTGCACCAGCTATAAATTGCATTAACTGAACTAGATTTCACAATCTATCAATTCGGGTTATGCTGTAGTAATTCTGTTTCTGGACATAAACCAAACATTCGAGCGAGTAACTGACAAGTGTTTGTTACAAAAGTTAGAGGCTTTTGGGATCCCGGACCCATTGGTTGGCGGCATCCAACTTCGGATTTGCCTGTCACTGTGGCAAGCCACAGGACGCCTGCGCTTACAAATGGACCATGGATGGCTTGCGCTGCACCACCCACAGTTCCAACCACACACCCCATATCCAGTGTAAACCCGAAGGAATAAGACCGGGAAGCATGCGGATGGGAACCACGTTTCATCAACGGAGCCGGCCCACACTCCTTCACAGGGAAACACAAGCACGCTGTATTTGGGGAATCAAGTGCACACAAGGCGGTGGCTGGACCGTAGTCCGCTCCACACTGACTGCATGGAACCACTCTTTGATCCTAACACGGCCACAAGGACCGTGCACCCCGTCCCTTCCAGCAACGACCAACTGTCTCCTGGAGACAGATGGACGACGTAGTGGGTAGTAGACAGGCAGGCACCTTGTCAACATGCACATCAAGCGCAGCCACACCTAGGATGTCAAACAACAGCCAATTATTCGAAATGCCGATATCGAATAACGTAAACGCATATGATGACATAAATACTCGCTAAATGAGCATATGGAAGAAAGTTGTTAAATGTGAATACGCGATAAGTACAAAATATCCGAAAGTTATTTAAAAAATACCACGCGATAAAATCACGCAAGGCTAGCACAATTTGCATGAGCGACGTGTGTAAGTTAGGAGAAGATTATCAAGTGCACAGAATAAACCAAATAAAATGTCATGAATTTTATACACATTAAAAAGACCTAGTTTAAGTGTAAATTGGTTTAGCCCAACTGCGGTGAAGAAGCATCCTGAACGCGACATTACTAGGGTGGTTATCGTCATACCTGAGTGGTCGTTACCAGATAGCCGTGCTATGTGATTGTCAGTCTTCTCCACGCCCCATCACTAGTGGGGTAATCCAAGGGTCCATCACTGGTTCTGCTCTATGACAATGACATCGCCACACGGGTAAAACGGTCTGCCTTTTATGTATGCTGGCTATATCAAGATCGTCAATCGGCGTGACGAACTTCCCGGAACGCTACTACTTATTCAAGATGACTTACATTCCATGAAGTCATGGTGCCACACGCAGATGATGAAGTACTCGGCAAAGAAATCAAGCATCATGTCTCACGGCTGTTCAAGCCCAGCAAGATCTATCGCAATTAACAATAGACGTGTCCCTCCCTACACACCTGTTCATGTGTGATCCCGGAATTTGGTACCCATGTATCTGCAATTTCTTCGAACTGGACCAATACAAAGTAGCATGTGACAGACACTCTGTGTTGAATAGGTCTAATAAAATTCACA